AGTAGTAGTAGTAGTAGAAGTAGTAGTAGTAGTCGTTGTGTAGTGGTCGTAGTAGTAGTAGTAGTAGCAGTAGTAGTGGTAGCAATCTCAAGAGTAGTTTGAGGAAAAGCTAAGATCTCACACAGGGACAAGCAAACCAAGGTTCTTGAATGATGTTTCCAGGCCAGAGTTCCATGATTCAAGCAAGCCTCAGAAGAGTTAAGTAATTAAGGACGTAAAAGGGCAGCAATAGCAGAACAATGGAGAAGTAAACTTTATTCCCGAATGCGTAGCGAAGGGTTCTCGTTTATAGTTGGGGGCGTGGGGCTAGGTATAGGGTCGTGATCGAAAATTCTTTCCTCGCGGGAAAGCTCTTGAAAAGGTCTTTTGATGGAGGGTGATCGTCAGATTCGTCGCAAATACCGTGCCTGCGCAGGTGCAGCCTTTTATGAGATCCGCTGTTTCCTGCGGAGTCAGATTGGGATTGCCTTCACGCCATCCGCTACACCGCGCAGCAGCTCTTCACTGGAGGCGTACCGACTAAATGACGTACATTCTATCGGATTTTCTATTCTGTCCCATGTCTGATCTCCACCCGCTCCTTTCAATGATTATATATTATATCTCACATTCGGGTTCGTGGGTTCTTTCAGGCTTTTCCCTTAGAGCTCAAAGTTTTCTTATAAATCGATCGATTCACAACATCATCATCTCCGGCTTCACTGGATGGTCACAAACGACTGGCACCCTGCCTTCAGCAGCCAGGAGCTTTCTTGTGCCTTTCGTTTCAAGATGGGTTGGAGTTCCACACCATTCTGCTCCAAGAGCTTCTTGATCCCCCAGTTCTGCACCAACATGGCCATGTCCAGTGGCGTCATCCCCACGTGGTCCACTGCATTGGCAAGTGCACGCTGTCCCAGCAGGATCTTTGCGACCTCTTCAGCACCTGTGCTCGGCCGAACGAACGCTTTATGTCTCGTTGCAACGAGTCGAGAGGTGCATGTTTGGGAAGATGATGGAAGATGGAAGAAGTTCAAACCCCACCCCCACTCCCAGGAAGATGGAAGAAGTTCTGCGTCTTTCATCCCCACTCCGCACCTCTTGCGGTGCCTCCAGAGGCCAAGTGCAAGGCCGTTCGGCCTCCATGGTCCTTGCTGTCGACGTTCGCCTTCTGAAGCAGAAGCCGCTGCGCATGCGCGGCATCTCCCGCAGCCGAGGCTGAAAGCAAGAGCTTCTCAGAGAAGTCCTGGGAGTAGAAGATTGATCGAACGGGCCAAGCAGCTGGGCGCAGTTGGTCCAAAAAAACTCGTTTGAGGTCCAAACTTGTCAACATGCTCAAAGGTTTGACACAACATGGATGATGGATAATAGACCATGAGATGCGTGACAATCGAATCAAGATGAGTCGGTGTGCTTTCTGGTGAAACCCCATCTTCTCCTGGTCAGAGACTTTGGTCAAAACGTCCAAGTCAGGATTCTTCTTTGCGCCCAGGAGAATGGGAAGCGGATTGTCTCTGTTCTCCATCCAGCCCAAAGAAGAACGTCGTTTGGAAGAGACGCTTCTGTCTCCTCCTCACAATCTATAAAACTTGAACCCTCTGAGCCATAAATCTTCAAACATCACAACATCCTGAGGTGATCGGAATCAACATCGCAAGGTCCAACATCGCAACCTCTTCGTCAACCTCCGCAGGCTCCCGGTCCTTGCTGCACTCCAAACCAAACAACAAACACACCCATTGGTCCAAAGGCGTCAACCTCGACGTCCGCACCGTTTTCACCATCCCGACCTCTTTTTCGCAGCGTGGTGGTCTGGCAGCGCGGTCGCGTCGGATCCATACCGAGCTCCTCGGATGTACACCGTGTCAGATCCATTTCCTATGTTGTCCCTTTGGGAGCGGAACATCCTCGAACGTCTTGGACGCAGAAGACAGCAAAATCACACGAAGGTGTGCAAGCTCTGAACCTGAGGGATTGCGAAAAGACGGAGGGATTGTTGGCTGGGCATTTGCCGGTCATGGTGATATATATCTTCACACCTTGAGTATCCTTGACTCCAAGTCCATCCTTCTATCGCTCGGAATAGCCTCTTGCCTTCCCCATTTCCGAACCCTAACCGCCCTAACCCGTGCCCGATCGCTCGCCCTACTGCAATACTCGCGGCCAATTCGTTGAATATCCTTCCGCAGGATCATCGTCTGATGCCGCAGGTCCTCCACCTGCGTCCGGAGCGACGTGCTTCCGTCCCCTCAGAGGGACGAGGCTCGGCGCGCCTGAATGCTCTGCGCGGGGCCCTGAAGCGTCATGCAACCCGAGATGAACTCTTCAAAGGAGATTTCGCCACTACCATCCTGGTCCATGATCCTGAGCTGTGAGATGGATGCTCAACCATCCCAAAGCAAAGAGGTTTTTGGCGATCAGCTGGGCCTTCAAGCTTCCGATGCCTGTGAACTTCATTCTAAAGTGTAAAAAGAAGGGTCTGTCTCACGAATGCACAAGACACTATGGTCGACCACGCAGGACCATGCGCCCATCTTCCACCTATATCTCCACCTGTCGAACCTTCGGTCACCTGATTCGAACCACTGGTAATTAGTTTCTCTCGAAGCATCGGTCATCCCGCGCCTGAACAGGGTTCGAAGATCTCCGGTCGAGATGTCCATCGATTCCAAGAAATTGGTCAAGGAGTCTTTGGACATGGCCACCTCGTCTCGGCCGACTTCGTCTCAGTGACGCAAAAAATATCATGGGGTCTGTCAAATGGGAGGTTGTCATGACTGTCGTCTTCCCGAAAAGAAGGACGCAACAGGAGGTGACGGGAAAGCACAACATGGTCTTAACAACAAAACATTGAAAGGTCTGACGATCAAGTGATACGAGTATCAACTGCTGCAGGCTGTCAAACCAAAGTCTGGGTCGCCCAGAGCTACTACAGTGACATGTCAGCTGCCTATCTCAAGCGTCGCTTGTTTCAACACGAAGAACCATCAGCTTAATCGCACCCCCCGAGGAGGCGTGGACCTCCAGTTCCTCAGTGGTGATGACATTGGATTTGTCTGCGTCGATCTCCACAAAGACCTGAAAAAGCGATAAACTTCTGTGAAACACTCCTTTTCACCACCTGTGTAGCTTACAAGTCCAATCAAGATAAAACCTTGATGAACCTTGCATAGAACCATGTCACTTTGCTTTTTGAATGGTGGATTCTTAGATTGAAGCGGTGTTTGGCTTTCTTTCGGACTTTGAGGATAGTATATAGGTGGGTAAGTGAGTCTTGACGATGGGCAAATTAGTGTGATCGAACAGTTACCTTGTAGTTAAACCTTATTTCCATACAAACAGTAAAATGGGTGAGGGAGTCTTGCTAGCCGCCATTTTGTAGATGTAAACGGTGGGTCCAACATCCACAAGGATTTTAGTTCTATAAAATGACCATTCCTGACATGTTTTCATTCTCTACGTTTTGACTGTGGGTGACATCCTAAATCCACCTAAATTCTGAACTGAAACTGACAACGAGCTTGCAAGAACCCAAATGCTCTATAACTCTATAACATATTATAAAATCAATTCCTGACTCCCCCCTGAAGGGGGTCTCATGAAACGTTTTATGGGAGGACCCAACTCCCCCCCATTTTATAGAGGATATGGGGTTGGGTATCAAACAGTTGACCCAAACATTCAGATATATGGACAATGGAATTTAAATGTTGCCTTCGAGGTGTCAGAATAACAAGTTTAACTTACACGGGATTTTCTGTATGTCCGGTAGTTTTCTGCTGGGGCTGGGGGGGATGAGGGCGTCAAGGCATATCTCATCATATCTCTCACCTTCTGCTTAGAAAAACGAATGGCCTGGTGACTGCTTATACTCGTACAAACATCGATCCTCTTAAAACTTGCTTCACGCAAATGCGGTGTTTTAATTCATGGTATCCTCTTTAGATCTCTTTAGATTCCCAGAGCAAGACTATAATGAGTTTGAAAACACATCGACATTTGTTGAGGGTTCAGGTTCAGGTTCTCCTTTAATGTGTTTTTTGCCCGGTTCAGATTGGATAGATACACAGTCACATGTCAAGAGCCCTGGGCAGTTGAGCGAAACAAACGACATTTTGGTACCTTAGTTGTAACTCACCATTTAAGCTACATCCTAAACATCGACGATCTCAACCATCCGTCTGCCCATCGTTGTGCAGCAGAAGGCACTCCTTTCAAGGCTCGCAATTGAGCTTCTTTCCATTCCATTTGCTTCATGATGGCGATCTCCTCCCGTTTGAGACACGGCGGAAGGGGCCGACTACACACCCGTACACATGCGCGCAAACATGCATGCATGCCACAAGATCACGGCGCTCACAACGCGTCGATGATCCAAGAAAAGGCCTGCACTGCAAAGCAGCAAATACCAACAATAAGGTGCTGGTACTGGTGCCGGTGTTCAAAACAATATGTTGGGCAGTTTGCAGGATGCCAGAAATAATCGTAACATATAGTAAAGATGGTCGTCTGATTTCTGTTTGTGAGACCTGCATTGAACCAAAGAACCTGTAAGTTTCGGGTTTATGGGATAGCCTATCCATATAACACCTTATAAACACATTGTAACATTGTAAACTGGAGAACAAATGTGTTTTCGCTGGTTGCCTCCGGTTGTGCATGGTCGTGCCTGATTTTTGTTTTTGTTGCACTGAGGTCTTTGGCTTCTGTTTGTTGGGAAAGCCTGAGCTCTTGCGGCCTCCCAGTCCACCCTGTCATGTTGTTTGGTCAAAAACATCAACACAATTCCTCTACGTCAGAAAAAGGATTTGTCGTGGTGTCAACTTGAGGTCCTTGCAATGAGGGCCTGTGGAGCATTGACGATGATTTGGAACATATAGATCAGATCTGCAAATTCAGTTGATCCACCATATTGTGCTATTCTTGATGCTTTCTTGTGCGTCAGAAACCGTGTATAGAATTTGTTGTAGACTTACAACATAAGCCCCTTTTTCCAACTCAAGATGAAAAAGAAGTGGACGACTCTTGATGCTTTGAAGAACACACATTTATAGAAATGCGTACTGGCTCGAATGCCACATGCCACACGCCTACCTAGGTTTGAATGCCTAAGGGTTCAGGTTAGGTGGTAACTGAAGAACTTCTCAAAGAACCTCCAAAGCCCACGAGCTCGAACTGCGGAAACGCGACAAGGTGACGACGGTCCGTGCATGACTGCAGAATGCATTAGCACTTTACGATACATCTCGGCAAATGTTAAAATTCAAGCAGGTACACAGAGCTGATCAGGCTCTGCTTCCCAGATGCAAGGTAGCTTTGTTAGGCGCAGTTCCTTGCATCTGCTGCGCCCCCGTGCTGAAAAGGAAACAATCCAAAAGGAGCCTTGTGACTCCAAAGGTTACACACACACACAGTGGCGACTCGTTTGAGGCTCGTCCTTGTCGGCTTGGGCGCTTTCAATCGCCTGGGCGTCGGCAAGACGGCCACGTCACACAGGCGACGCGGCTCGTCGTGCGGCATGGGCGTTCCTTGATGTTTAAATGAAGATGTTCCCCCAAAATCCCCCAAAGAACTACGTATTTACCCAATGGACCCAATAGAAAAGAAACACCCCATTTTTGTGGAAGAAGAACATAATATGAGAACACGACAGAACATCGTCTCAATGATTCCAAGGAACCCGATGGCAAAACCTCAGTCGAATGGTCTGGAAAGACAAAGCTACAATCTCGTCGCCAGGGAAACTGGCGATCAATCATGCAAATTAGATCCACTTAGGCTGCTTGGAATTTGGGAGAGCAGAATGGACAACTTGCACATTTCTGCATCTGAGAAACACGCCCGTGACAACATTCAAGATTGCGAAGATACTCAAGAACACGTACGAGATGAAGAGGAATGAAGCCAAACTCGAGATCCTTCCTCGGTGCCGACACACTTCATGTCAAGTTGTCCATGCGCCGACCCCATGGCGTTCCACAGCTATGCTGCACTAATTAGCGGGGTGAGGCTGCTTTTCAGTGGCTTTGCCTTGTCTACCCATGCTATCCCATGGTCATGGCCATTGTCGCGTGACATGTAGATTCGATGATTATTCGATGATCTTCACATGGTCTCTATCCGTTTTCATATGTTTTCACTCAAGCCACACTCGTGCTTTCCCCAAACAAGTGGCTCCAAACACGCTGCCGGTTCCGCCCGACTCGACGCTGTCTCCGAGACTCGAAGGGGGTCCAAGGCTTCCACCCAGCTGAGACCACCCGAAATCGAGAGGAACAAGGTGAGCATCGTCTCCTTGGCGCAAGGCCCATCGAGATCCACCCAGCGGAGCCGGCAACCGTCTCGGTGCAAACCGCTTCACATCCGGAAACGCTTCACGCTTGGAGAGGCCGGAGGTGGGCTTGATCCACGGGACCCGCTGGAGAGTTCGAGCACCGGAGGTTCGTTCGATGTTTTGATCTCTTGTTCTGGTTCTGGTTGGGTATCTTTCCAGTCTGCTCGTCACGTATAGCAAAATTGTTCCACAATTGTTCAATTACTTGGAGTATACACAGTTAGAATTGATAAGAATGATAAGAGTTCTGAAGCTCACAGGGATCAGTCCTACACACTGATTGGCTCTGCTGGTTCTGCGGAGACTTCTAGTAGATTACCTACCAGTTTTGCAAAGCTTTCTCCAGGGTTCTCGGACACTGCGGTCTCTACTTTTCCGAGCCCCATCTCGCCGTCTTCTCCCAACTCAGATCGATGTAGACAACAACTTGTGCAAATAGGTTGAGGCCCAAACATGAATCGAAATCATTAGCCCTAGCCTCTGTCCCATTCCAATGCATTCCATATATCCATAGTGCCCAGTGCCCCGACCAAAACGCCGATTGGATCCTCCCAGCCATTTTGGATCCCTGCCCCGAAACAGCCCCCCCGGTCGCGGTCCAAGCGTCTGGCACATCCAACCAATAGCGCATGTCCTCGCCTGCCACGATGTCGCAAGTGCGGCTGGGATCTGAAGCCTGAAGCCAAGCATGTGATGGAACCGCAAGGCAAAATGCAAAAGAAAGTGCTAAGCCAGCAAAGGGCTGACAACAGAATATTGGAACACGAAAACTCACCGTGCAAGAGTCTCATCTTCTCTAAACACTACTTACACCTTGATAATACCAACACACAGAGTCGTTCTTCAGCATACTGCTTGTGAGTCTTCCCCACTCGTCACTTCTATCCACTCAAAACAGCAAGCTTCAACCGCCACATCTGCTGCAGCACTGCTTTCAAGCAGTGCTTTGTCTGCCTGAAGAGCAGTGCAGCCGTCGGCCACCAGCTGAGCAAGGATTACACCTCACATGGGAGGAGAATGAAGTGAGTGGAAATGGGCCGGTTTGGGTCACCAACATCAAGCTCAACCGATCAACCGACTGTGACCAAAAGCAAGGTATAGAAACCTTCTCATGGAATGCGACAAACTGTCTGCATCATCCAACGCCTGTGGTAGATTGGCATCCTTGCTAGTCCAATTTTGTTGCTTTGGGAGGCTCAACCAGGGTTGTACAAGCACACCCAAACACCCACTCTGAGAGTGAAGGCTGTGTTCCTATCAGGTCGGTCCCCGGGTTTTGAAATTCGTGTGGGGGTGTTGATGTTAGCAAAACCGCAAGCACATGTATTTTCTACCCAGCACTATACCATGACTTACTCACAATGAGAAAATTCCGATGCTTCTCTTCATTGCGTAAACGGACCTTGTTCAAACTTCGAATCCCCTGGTGATCATGACATCACCATAACGGCCAGGAAAAAGGATGAAAAACGGTTCATATAACTCTCCAATATGCAATGGAGACTGGGGTTGTCATCCGGGAAGGTCTCGCCAGAAACAAAAAAACACCAGCCTATCACGTAGAAGAGAATCACCAGCAAGACCTCAGACTTCGACCGAGCTTCTTTGGGGCCGGGCCTTTGGCCACTCCCTTCTCCTTCTCCGAGTGTTTCCACTATAGCAAGAAACATTTGCCACAAGTAATTCAACGCCAAACAGCCCAGGTCTCTCCACCTGGATCTCTCAGCGATATATATATATATAAAGATAGATGGTGTCCAGACTCGTTGGCCAACAAACTTTCTGGGGTTCACCTTCATGAACTACTATGGCCACCTCCCAGACCAACAATGCATCAATGCATCGGCTTAAGAATGCTTGGGGATATCGCAACATCTTATTTTGACTCTTTACGAAACCTTCCAAATGTTCCTCCCTCTTGCAAAGCGCTGCATGCAAAACACCGGAAACGAACAAACACTCTTGCCAGCGCGGAAAATGGGTGCGAAACAACATGCACAAGCGCACGCCGCAAGGTTGCAGTCCCAGTCACCAAGGTCCAAACCAAAGACCACAAGGTGCTCACAATCGCCAAAACGATTGAACGCAACGCCCCAATGGATCGGATCCTCAAACGCAAAGACTCGACTCGACCAACGGCGAGTCGCGGCGGAGAATGAAACCTCCAAAACAACGAAGAAACCACTTGGGGCGTGGAGGTTTGACGCAGCGTCGCAGTGATTTTGTGGAGGTTAGGCCCAAGAAACTAGTTAGTCCGAAACGAGTTCAGCGAACAAATGTATATATAATAAAAGAACCACAAAGTGTCCAGCCTGCCTCTGCATTGGAAAGCGGAACAAACACGCGGATAGCGAGTTGGGGTGAGTGACTGAGTTGGTGCGTGAGTTTGGTGTGAACAAAAGTTGGTTTGGCGCGTGTAAATGAATGACTTGGTGTATGTGTGTGAATTGGTATGTGAGTTGGAGGAGCGGCAGGAGGAGGACACTAGGCAGGAGCGGGATGACCCGGGAAAAAAGTAAGAACCCAGGCCCCAGACTAACATGTGTGGAATTACGTAGTCAGTGCATCAAATACCATCCGTTAACATTATGTAAAGGTTTCCGGGCGCACCATCCACGAATGGTCCACGAATAGCCCGACGTTCCAAGACTGGTTGGGCCACGCCATTGATAGACTCATGTTGCCTCAACGCTCGGCCAACCGTTGCTAAGTGAATTGACCCAGCTTTGCAATCCAACAACAGGTAGTCAATTGACTGGGATACTTCAATCGTTCCAACTATGTGCTACTAAAGCTCTCAAACCGAACCAAACCCAATTGCTAAATGCACAGGGAGCAGCGGAGGAACTGGAAAGGAAGGAGTTGCGGAACCGGAGTTGGGGAACAAAAACGGGAGCAGGAACGGGGTCCAGGAGCTAGGGGGGCAAGAGCGCATCACAAAGGCAAAAACGGGCAAAACCGTTGTTCGCGGCGCACGTGTGTTGCTAGATGCACACAAACACCGGCCGCACTTGCTGATCCTAACTGGCACAGGGTCGGGGGACTCCCTGTACCTCCTCAATTCCCTGCTTGATGGCGTGTATGGATGCTGGCCCCCTGGCTGCTCGTTTCCGTCAATGAGCACCAGCTTAGCTAAGTATCACTGCGTAGAAAGAATGAATTTGGTAGCAGAAACAGAAAGCACCACAAATGCAACAACACAGAAATGTCGTCGCGCAACTGCCTGTGGCCTTGCTGCAAATGAAGGTTTCGTGCTGCGGAGAAAGAATGCTTCCCAATGGCTTCCCAACGGGCCACAAGGCACAACACGAGTGACAAAACTGTTGCCGGCGCAAGCAGGCCTGCGGCCTTGCTGCACATGCAACATGTTTTGTGCAGCGTAGAAACGCTGCTTCGAAGCAAACACCAGACACTGCGGTTGCAAAACCGTCCTGCTCGGCATTATGGCCTTGTGCCTTGTTGCGCATAAGACATGTTTTGCGCGGAGTAGACTCGCAACGGAGATACGCCTGCGCAAAGTACTGTAGCCGGCATAAAGGCACGTTACTGAGCTGCACCGCTGGCGCTACCAGGACGTGCAGTTGGGCTCTTCCAGTGCGATTGAACTTACAGCGAGGCCATCAAGCCAACGATCTGCGCAGTCAGCCTGCCCCATGTGCTTTGCTGCGCAGGTTGCGTGCGCCAATAGTCCCCGTCCACACGACACGTTGCCACGTTGCCCCGTCCGCTCGACTGGCAGCGGAGCTGACAGGGTCCAAAGGCCGATCACAGCTGTCAGGGTTCCAGGGAGGAAGCCCGATCAGCACCTACTAGTAACAGAACTTGTGGCCCACAACGGCTGAATAGCGCTCAGGTTCCTTGGCGGGACCGCAGGCCCGCCACGGATTAAGGGTGGGCTGACTGGAATAAAACGAGCTGCATCATTCTGCTGCCGGAATGCATTGCTTGTGCATGCGGACCCCCTCACTCCAAATGTCTCAGTGGGACAAACACAGCCACCAAAGAAACGCCGGCCTGTGGAAACATCTAAACACAGGGCTTCCAAGATGGCAGTGCAGCACCCAGGGTTCCAACGTTGCAGGGTGGCACCTGACAGCCTGACAGCACCCACGGTTCCAAGCAATGGTTCCAACACAACGGCACTCAAATGATGCATTTTCGGATTTCGGGCTCCATTCTCTGCTGTTGGGAACAATAAGCTGCAAAATCTAAAGTGCAAATAGGTCAACATCACTATCAACACCAGCCAGCCCCCCGAACGCAACACACCAGGATGGAAGTCCGGTTTTCAAGCCCTGTTAAAAAAGTGCCCCACTCCCTGCCCAAACAGCACCAAACAGCACCCAAGGTTCCAAACGGCACCCAGAATAGAATTCCGGTTTTCAAGCACCCAAAGTTTCAGAAAGCACCCATTGCTCACCACTCCCAGCCCAAACGGCACCCTGGGTTCCAGGGTGGAATTCCAGTTTTTGGGGCGCCGTGGACAAACTGTGCACCGCTCCCAGCTCCAGAGATTGAAACCCAACTTCGTCCAAGGATCAGTTTCACAACCCGAACGCCTCGCAAGGCACGCGCCAGGCGAACGGCTCGCATCACGCGTAGGTGGCTGGAATCCAAGGAATTCCCAACATTTGCTTTGGTGACCTCGGTGAACACGAAGGGCTGTACCATTTGCGCCGTAAAATGGCTCATCATTTGTCAGAACTAAAATGCAACTGAAACCACACTGAACAACGCACATGTTGGTAGTCAACAGGATGGCTTCACATGACGCATCTCACAGTGTCACAACGACCAAACAAAACTACAAAAAGTAAAGAGTCATCTTGCATCGCAGGGACGACATCCATGATCGTCTCAACCAAAGACGTCACCACGATCACAACATCAAACCAATTCCACAAATACTCGGACCCACAAAAGAAGAGTCTAAGCCCATAAGCTGTGAGCTTGATTGCCAGCTCAAAAATGAAGATGCAAACGATGATGATATTGACGTACAAATACCCAGGAGGAAGTTCTTCACCTGGAGGGAGGTGTGTTGCTAAATCCACCTCCACGCCCATCATGACCAAGTTGAAGGCAATCACTAGCCTTGGAAGTTCAAGCAAGTTGGAATCAGGTCACTCGTGCGTGTGACAGCCTTGGCAACATGGCATCACAGGTCGGCGATGGTTGGCATATGTTGGCGATTGTTGGCGTATCTATGTATTTTAGGAGGCAGGCACTGCAGGCACATGATATGACATCTCCCTCAGCTGCAAAATCTTCGCTCGTTTTTACCTTGCAAAGCACACTTCCATCATGAGAACTCATCTGCTCGCACACACACACACACACACACACCCACGCTACATGCCCACATGCTTTTCTTTGTGATCTGAGTGGGGTTGGGTGGGGTGGTAGTGGGGCTCATAGGGTTGGTGTTGGTGTTGGTGTTGCTGTTGCTGCTGCTGCTGGTGTTGTTGTGCTATGTTCCTCTTCTACTTGCTATCAGCATACCGGTATGCATCTACAGCTGAGCAACCGGCAACAACGGACCGCACAAAAAAAAGAACGATGGAGAAAACACACGTACAAACGAGGGAGGGACCGACTGTCCGTTGAGAAAGGGAGCGCGGCAAAAAACTGTGGGACCTGCAGAACAAACATAAAGCTCCGATTCCAAAAGCACATATGGATCCCTAATAGGATTTTAAGGAGGGGTTGGGCGGACCATTCTCTTTAAAACATCGGCCTTTTATATATAACTGGGTTAAGGGTACCCATTTCGAGGAAATTCCGGGGATCTGGATAGAAAGAACAGAATGAACCCCGAGCGAACAGAACGAACCTGAAGGAAGCATGTGGCGGAACAGTCGGACCGATGTGGGTGATGGAGCGACGGAGCGTCGGAGCAGTTTCGGTCTGCCGAATTTCAAGGCACCAGTTGCAAGGCAGTTTGCGCATACGAAAACTTTTTGAACTATATGGCCGCCCCTGGAGCTGTCCCATTTTCATCCACTTTCCTGCTCAGGCGGTGTATACGGTCTGTTTTTGTGTGTTTTTTTCACCGGCTCAGGTCCCTCTTTGGAGGTCTTTCCGAAGGTGTCTTTCCTGGTTCTCCAGGGTCAGGTGGGCGGAGAAAATGGCCTCCTTGTCACTCCTTGTTCTCTCCGTCTCTGGGCGGAATCTGCTCGTTTTTCTTTGTTCATCAGGGAGACATGTGACATTCACATCTCATGTTCAGCTTGTGTCCGACTTGGTGCCACAGAGGGCATTTTCAAGTGTCAAAACAGGACTAGGAACAAGAACGCTACTATGGGCTCCTGGCCTTTCTACTAGGAGCAAGAACGCTACTAGGAGCAAAGGGCATCGCTACTAGGAGCAAGAACGCTACTAGGGGTGTCACATCCGGTCTGTTCGGTTGGTCGGTCTGTTCCCAGGGCCTTCTGTTCATGGTTGGGTCCCGAGCGGAGGAAAATGGCAAACACCAAAGCAGGGATAGCACCCCACTTTTTTTTGTTCCATGTGCCTCTTGCCAAATAAAACCTATCATGGTTGCTATTGTCTCTCTACTTTGAGGCAGCAAATGGACTCAACCAATGGTGTGCTGAGTGAGGAGTGAGGGATATTCATAATTCGATATAAGTCGTAATGGATATTCAATGCTTTCCAATGCGCTCCAGGTCACATAATACTCGTGGAGAAAATGGACGATGCTGCCACTCGATGGGCTGCTTCACAAAGCCATCCTTCAGGCAAAGGCTCCGGTTCCACATGTTGTGAGATGTAGGAGGCTGAAGGCGATCCTGGATCCTCTTTGATCTTCACATTCTCAAAGTCCTCACGACTCGGGATCGGGACTCTCTGGATCCCGGGACTCGTCCGTGGTCTGTGCGAGTGGTTGGCCGGTTCAATCGGAAGTTTTCATGCCAGCAGCTAGGTATTGCGGAACAGGGGGAATATTATGGAATTATATTATGTGTTCCGGTATTTGGAAAAACAGTGTCACTTCCTGTACAGCTTGAAGACAGTGAACATCCACATTGGAGTCTTTGGTCTGAAGATGGTGTCTTTCGCATGCCAGAAACTCAACCGGAAGACCTTCATTTGATCTGCCCCTTGCTATTCTCAACTTCGATGCCTTGTGTGGCCCCCCAGGCCCTCTCAACTTCCTTCTGGCCCGGGGGGGGCTTCCAACTAGGCACCGGTCCGGGCCACCCCGGGCATCGGTCCTGTGTGGCTTGGGACGCCATGCCCAAATGTTCGAAGCCCGCCTTCGCTCCGTCCGAGTCGGACCGCGGCCGACTCAAGGCCTGGGCGGGCGCTGGACTCAGCGAGGTCGACGAGCTCTGAGGGGTTTTTGTTGCGGGAAACCACAGCAGGGAGGCCGTGGTCCGACTTGGGGTCTGACCCCCCAAAGATAGAAGGCCTTGGATTAACAGAGAGTGTGGAGTCTGTTTTCACCGATTTGACCCCATGTTTTCACACCCCCGAACATCCTTCACCGAGCGGCCAAGGTATCATGATTGATCGAGGAGACACGGCGGTGAAGCTCTCCTAGGATGTTAGCCTGTTTGGAAAAAAGCTCCTCCATCAACTGCTGCACCTTTCGTGTCTCTTCCCGCAACATCACGGCCATGTCGAGGTCGATGCAGGCACCCTCGCCCTCGCCGAAACCTCGTTCACTCTCCCAAGTTCCTTCTGGGGCATGTTTCACGTCCGGCGGCATTTCTCGATGGGTTATGGCAGGGTGATTTTACCGCTGCCTACCTTGCTGAGCCAAACACTGCAGTCGTCCAAGTCAACAACATCCAATCTCAATCGGAAGCACATTCAACTCATGATAGTCCATCTGGGCTCCCATAATCGGTTGGGCTTCTGCTGCTCTGGTCAAGGATTGAGACCTTACAACCAACCCTCCCAACTCAACAGTTTTTCTGCTGCAGATTTGCAGATGCCAGCTGACCTCAACCCCTTCGGTCTAAGAAATCTAAGAAACCCAAAGATCCTCCCTCAACCCGAGCTGCTCTCGAATCTGTATTTGACATAGTGAATCCTGGAGCCCGCCCCGGCCTGGAGCATAAGCGCAAAGATGCAGAGATGACCTGACGACACTTACGACGCTTGCTGGCGCAAAGAACTCACCAGGAATTTCCAGCCCAACAGTCTAACACAAACATATAAAGACGGTGAATCAAGTCACATAACAAAATGGATAACAACACACACACACACACACCCCTCCCAAACACACTTACTGGGAGCGATCGACGCTCACTTCGCAAAGGTGGACCGGACCCTCCTGACCTCAGTCACTGCCGCACCAGAAGGGGCAGTCGCTGGTTGCTCCGGAGATCCACTGCGCGGGGTCATTGCGAAAGAATGTCCTAGCACTTCCAGGAAGTGACCAGGCACCCAAAGCTTAGTGCTGGTACCAAGCGTCACACTTGCAAGGGAAATGATTCAACACTCAGTAGATCTTCTCGCCATTAAACCTCTTGTGAGGTATTTGGGTTGCATTTGGACAACCCATCACCAAATCTGACAGCTGCCTTGAACCCGCTTGCTAATCTTCTCAGAGACATTGGGCCAAAAAACTGTTCTCGCCAAACACTCGAGCATCGACTGCGAGGTTCAATGCAATGCTTGGGAGGAAAAAAATCCTTCAAGTGCAGTAATAGCATAGAATAAGTTCGCATGCCATGATTAGACCTGCATGTCTTCCTTAAAATCATCTAAGCAATTGGCGTTCCACACTCAGGCCCTGCCTTGAACTATCAGACCTCTCAAAGATGCACAAGCGCTTCTTTTGTTCAAACGCTCGCAGCAGAACTTCCCAAAGGAAGTGAGGCTTTTGCGCTCGCGTCTTATGTTTTGAAATTCATCACTGATTTGTGCTAAGAGTTGTTGTTGGCTTGAGAAGAGCTACTTTCACACTAAATAGGAACTGACCAACCACATATCACTACTGCAACCAAGTACTTAGCGAGTCTTCTTTCACAGTCGCGGCCAGTTAACCTATTTACAACGGTGAGAATCGGAAGCCAAATCTGCTTCCAGTGACCCAGCAATGCTGCGGGAAATCCGACGTTTATTGTTCAAGGGAAAACCATGAGAGCGGTGGAACATATTTGTTCCTAAACTCCGTTTGAGAAACACCCTATCTTGTCTGGATTACTTTTGGAGAAGATGTTTCCATGATTTATTATGTCTGCACCAGCTCGTTTGCTGTTTCTGATGTGTCTCAAACATGTGAACTCTAGGAAGAGATCTACCCAGGCGTAGACACTAAAAATAACTTAAATGATTGTCCTTTCGATTCCAAGAGGTCAAAGCTAGCGGGTCGATGGTCGACATACATATATCATCTGATATATCTAGCTAGAATCTAGAAAGGCTATTTCAACGCAGTGCTGCAACAGTGCAGGATTTGTATGGATTCTCTGTCGTTGTTGGTCGCTCAGTGGCCAACTTCGGATTTCCGTTCGATGGACAGTGACGCCATCCGATGAAGTTGTGACACCGTCCGTTCGGATGTCGCCTCTCATTCCTGAAGCAGCTGGCAAAGTCAGACACCGCATATCGACTGCAGACTTGTGTGGGTGTCCCTTTACCACCACCAAGCACCTATATATTGTTTCTGGCCTCAAAAGGAACTTTATGGACAGTATGAAGTAATCATTAGCTGTGCGGCCGAAGTCAGCATTTACTGTATACATGACCACCACCAGAACTTCCAACCTAGGACTCTGCACAAGCAGCCATCATGGGCTGAGACACCAAACATTCCATGGGCCAAACATATACACGGCAAACACCTCAAGCAGCATGAACATGTGCAGGGGAAACAAACGACTAATCATATAATAGTTAGAGTTAGAGACAGTATTGGTCGCTATTATGAGGTCCATGCAATCTCAACATCTATTGCGTTGCTGATTCCACGGTTCTACCAAACCATGTACCTTGGCCGGGCTGCCTGAACGGCAAACGCCTTTCTTAGACACAACACCTTTGCATCTCTTTCAGATCTCCCTTGGCAAACTTGGAGTTTTTTTTCCTTCTAAATACCAGTTATGTATCAATGATGTTGATCTGGAAGTTAAGTTGAGCATGGTTGTGTAAATACATACTGGATACTCCAAATCACCACTCGAGACTTGCAGCTCCATCTGTGTCCCATCACCTCAAACTTCGAGAGATCTCAACATCATTGATTCAAAACCCCGGCCTTCAAGAATGACCAAAACCACCTGCAAGAACCCGCACAGAAACGCTCTGTTCCAACCCATCCTCAAACCCATCAAAACCCCTCTCAGTGGGGGGGTTATTGTGGGATCACCATGGATCATCCAGACACCGTTCGCCAGCCTTTCGTTTCTTCTTCGGCTTTACTGGTGCCTGGTGACCCGAAAGTGTCGGCGCCCCTGAAACTCCAGTGGCGTTTTTGGGGGACGACCCAGTGGTTTTGGAACCCGCCAAGTTTCCACAAACCCACGTGTCTTTTGGAGTATCTTTTAGAGTGTTTCCAAGAAATCCATGAGAAGAACCTGGCGAGCCTGTCCCCTGCACCGAACTGTTGCGGGGACATAATTACAGCGAACGACGAGATCATTGCTGTTTTTTAATGCTTTTTTTCGTCAAACAGATCGTGCCATATCGTGCCTAGGCCTAAGAATCCTGATCTGTTTGTTGGAAGCTGAGCCTGGGCACTCCCACAGCAAGGTTTGGGCGGTTGGGCGGTCAGGGACAGAGAGATGTCAGCATTCGACCTCTCAACTCCCACCCCCAGGTCATCACCAGTCAATGGTGCATCGCTCCGAGTTCGAGAACAATCCAATCTCAAGAAACTAGTTTAATGTTCACCAATTATATAGTTCTTTTCATTTCAGTTTGCAGAGTTGCCACTCTCAGAACATGGTTCCCCACAGTCGGGTTAATCCTTCCGACGAGGCGTCCGGGCCTCCTCTTCTTCTGCCTGACCGTGTATAAGCAAAATGAATCAAAACGATACCAAACCATCAGAATAGTGCAATGATCCTTTTTATGATTGTGACAACACCTTCCTACGTGTAGCACAGTTAGATGAAAATGGTGAGGTGAACAAAGTTGTTGTCAATTCCTACGATCACGGACGGGAAACAATGTACTCGTCGAACATGCTCCACCTCAACAATTATCCCCTTCATTCAATCCAAACAATGAAGGGAAAGTTATGACCCTAAAACACGCATAACAAGACCCCAGAAAAACGACAAAGGCTCAACACAAATGTTCAAAAGCCAAGAAAATTCAACGAGGTGATTGATGAACCAAAACTCCCCAGAACCCCCATTTTACATTTTTTTGGGGGGGTCAATCTAGAATCTATAATTTTCCCAACAACCACTTTGCCGTTGCGCTGGCTGCTGAATTTTCAAGTGGATTCTCACATGGTTGCTTGTCTCTCTTCCTTTCGGCAAGGCCAAACGTTAAACACGGCCACACAACTCGAGGCGCAAGAAAACAAAAGCTCATGTTCAGTGCCTCTTCTGTCTTCTTTCGCTTTGTCTTTGCTACTGCCTCGAGGCTTTCACCAGGAGACAAGCCCCAAAGCCTGACCAAACCTGTTTCCCAGTATGCTACTTCCCATCGCGCTTTGTAAGGGCATTCTTGGACATCACGGAACTGTTGAGCCACAAATGGTCTTGACCTCGAAGAAGGCGTCCATCGACTTCCGACAAAAGAGCCTTTGCCTTTTATATCTCTGGACTATCTTGTACTCTTGCCCTGTCAAACTGCCCCAAGCAGGCCCAGGCAAGCAAGTGCTAGGCATGGCTTTGCCCATCTTCCAACCAGTGAACGCGCACAATCACCCCCGGACGTCTACACCCAAAACGTTTCATAACAACCAACTTCACTAGAAACCCATAATTGTGAAACAACATGAAACAACCAATCTGTTTGTTTAACTACAAGCACAAACAGACCACAGGGTATGTCGCCTTTAATGCTTCGTCCATCTCTTGCTGTGCTTCTTCGCAGGTGAGCTTTGGGAGATAGCTCCACCTGCTCGGTCGATTTCCGACTGATTTCCAGGAGTCACATGGTGGTGTAGTGGGTGGTGTGGCTCGTCCCTTCCAGTGGATGTCCGTCTTGTGACTCCTGGTTCATATGAGTTCATAAAGCTTGATGTTCCGGGTGCCAGCGGAAATGTGCCAATCACAGCTGTGTTTTTGCAGGGCGCCAGCAGGTTTGCACACTCACTTTGGTGGGGGCACTCTCTTGGACTCGACTCATCTCATTGGCAGGAACATGTTTGATCTAGTTCTTTAGTTTGGATATGAGTGAAAAGCAAACATACACTGACCAACAGTGAAAATCATGCTACATCTATAGTGCTTATGGAGGGTGCCCCACCTGCCATTTCAAAATGAGTTTGGTTTGGTATGTTTGGTTTACCTCCCTTATGAAGACATTGGTAGAGAACCCAACATACCTGTCTGCTGATGGCACCCTTCTGCATGACACACACCTGTCACCAACCCCAAACGGATAGGGATCAACAGGATGAGTCGTCGATTGGTCATTGAACTTCTTGGTACGGGACAACAGAACATCAAACAACCTAAACAAACAAGACACACAATCAACACCGAGCCATAAAATCACAGCTTCCCCACAAACAAGATCAAACCAAGGGTCCACTGGTGTCCTCCCACATGTCGTCGTGTGCTGCCTCCCTTGGCCCAGTAGCCAGGCTTTGGGCGTATTCTCATTGGGCTTCCCCTGACAGGATCGCCATAAACATCGCAGAGCGGCTACTGTAGAGCGGCTAGAGGTGTTGGTGTCTGGTGGTCTCAAACGATACATCGAAATATAGACATGCCTTAGAAGCCTGAAGCAATAGGTTGCTCTAAACAAACTTGCATGGCACCATGGACAAACAAAGCATTCAAAGGAATCACCTACTCTGTGAAACCTTCCGCAGTGCCTTCTCGGTGAGCTTACCGGCCAAGATCAATTTCTTCTTGTCAGTGGAACGTGGACCATAGCCCCACCGCCTCTGACATGATGAATTGTGAAGCGACAGGGAACCCGTTCACATCTCTCGCCAAAAGCGGTGCAGTGGGCAACTGCTGAGCTTGCTGCCTATTTGATCCTATTTCTAAAAATGTTAAAATATTTCTGCCATCTCACAAAGCCAGAGCTGGTGCGCATTCCTCTGTTGCCGGAATTCGAGGCCCTTGCATGTTGTAGGTGTCCCGTTCCATGATCACTCGCTTGATCACCTCAGCATCACTTGCAGCAAAGGAAGGCATTGTGACTGTGAGCATCATTCAGCCCACAGTTCAGAAAGGCACCCCCTTTCTAAGACTGTTGTTGAGATGCAGTTCCAAAAAAAGGATTCTTCCGTCGTGTGCCACTAGACTTTCACCAGCACAGACAATGCACCACATGTCTCGAGCTGCCGACGGAGACCACTCCATGGTCTACGGATGCAATGACCGCAGTGGTCATCTGTGCGATGCCGGTGGCAATGGCCTGTGTCAAGGATCAGCACTTGGCAGCTTTGACCCCAAGCAAGGATCATAAGGGCAGGAGGGTTGGCTCCTGGTGGCAGGTTGGTGGATTTGAAGGAGTCAGGGCCCTAAAGAGGGTCAATAATTGAGAACTCTTATCCGTTTCTTTCACCTGGCGTGGCTGCAATTTCTTTACCCAAGAAATGACCCAAAGCAACTCCGGATGAACGGCCGAGCGAGCCATGCAAGTGAGGAGTCAATGGGGTCTCCGGTTCAAAGCCTCCAATACCACTCTCACCGGTGCAACGAAAGCGCTCTGCTTTCGGGGTGTCGCAACTTTGAGGTGCTCATCTTTGCTCAACTGGATGAACTTCAGAATGGACTGAGGCTTTGAATGTCTGAGTGTCAGGATATCTCAAATACATCTCCAACGCCCTGAGATCCCCCCCGAGGCTATTTAGAGCCGCCCAAGGTTCGGCCTCGCCCTTGGTGGTCATCATCACGATTTCCGACCCCACCTTGCGTGCGTGCCACGGCGTGCGGTGGGGTGTGCCGGGTGAAACGAAGGGGGTGACGAAGCGACCAGAACAAAGAGCCTTTGGCCAGTTCCTTCAATGACTGCACCTCGGCGCCCTTCACTTGGAAACACACCCCTGGAGACCTGGGTGATCTGATCACTGCTTGATCTTCCTGAACCAGTAGCAAACTATTATTGTCAGCCACTGAAGTACACCCAGTATCACCCAGTCATTTTTAGAATTCGTTTAGCGTCGCAAGCAGCTTCCACCGGCACCTTTTTCTTCTCTCGGCTGCGCCTCGATGCCCTGCTCAAAGCGGAGCACGCCAGGGATCATGAGCTGAGCACCATAGCAAATGGCGTTCACTGCGCTGTCCTGGCGGAGTGATGCACAGCGGAGCCAACGAGTGTGCTGGAGCCAACGGGAAGGAACGAATAGAAACGCGCATCTCTGAAAGAAGAGGACAGCATGAGACAAAGTCAAAGAGTTCAAAGAAAACAAGAGCACAAACAAACAACTGACTCAGTATACTGAGTCTACTAGTAGCAAGAAGCTAGTAGGTGGAGGTCATTGTTCTTAGGTTGGAGGCCATCACTACTAGTAGCAAGAAGCTACTAGTAGCAAAGGGCATCGCTACTAGGAGCAAGGACGCTACTAGGGGTTCCTGGCCGTACTACTAGGAGCAAGAAGCTAATAGAGTTCCAAATGTCCAAGAACTCAGTTTTCACTTTTTTTCTCTCTCTCTCTCTCTCTCTCTTGTGCTTCACGTCAGGACCTCGGGTTCGTGTGTGGTCCTTCACCACAATCCTGGGATAGTTGGTCAGGATCAGTTCCAGTGGCATCACCACCTGTCAGGCAAGTTGAAGACTGGAAGAAGACTGGATTGAAACGTCATTAGTTGAATGTTTATTCTCTTGACTAATAAGCTCACCCAGTTGAATTGGACATCCTCTTCATATGGAGGATTTATTAATCAAAAGTCCGCATTATTCATGTTTGTTCTTTTGTTTCCATTGTTCTTCTTCCATAGACCCTTGAGTGATGATCAGCCACGAAACTCAGGATGTTTTAAAAAGAAAGCCTGTGGCAAAAAAAATAACGACAACAAAAAAGGAACCTGCGGACACCATCAAACACCTCTCCCTTGCAACGTGTTCTTTCCGTGTGAGGTCCGAGAACCCAGCCCTTCTGAGGTATTTCTCATCCCGCATGTTGTTGTACCTCGCGGATGGAGGGGCGATTATGGATTGGATCAATCCAAATTGCAAAGGCCATCAATAGAATAGGATAGAATATGGATCTATGATCTATGGAATATGATAGAATGTGGCTCAATCATGATCAATCTATGTTACAAACTTAATATATATATATACATCTGCCATGCAAATTGATTTCCCTGCAGTGCATGGGTCACATGTACATGGAGTCGAGCACGTCGTGCATCCTCAGCAGCGGGTCCCCAATTGCGCACTTGATCGCTTGGATTTTGGAATGCTCACTCCATCTTCAAGCCCATCCAAGATTCGTAGACATATACTTGTGCTCATCGAGGACACCTGAGCGATTTCGTCGTAGCTCCTGCATCAGGATGTGGGAGTATTAAATTTGTCTTGCGCTGGAGAGGCATCTAGGACTGCCAAGCTGCCTCTAGCAGCAACCCTCCAACATACTCCTAATGTAACACATTCATGATCCATGAAAATCCATGTCTAAGTCCTCTTCAATCCCAGATATCAAGTGAAAATGGTCAAGCCTGCGAAGAACCCGACAAGGCTTTGGATGTAATACTGGTTATCCCATCATATCCCCTCCATCTCCTGCATGTGAGCTCCGACGCCGAGCATGAAGCCCAAGTGGACACAAAGCGTCCGAATGTACGTCCCAGCCTCCGCATCCCCGTGCGCCACGTCGGTGTTAGAGGTGAATCACCACGTCCCACGTCCGTGCACCATGTGATGGAAATGGTTGAGCCACATTGACGAGTGGTCTAGTCTAGATGAGTCTAGAGTTTGGGGCCTTTTGTCCCATTCCATCTTGGTGGTCGGAATGTCAAACAGGGATATCTGGCCGGCTGCTTTTGGGTGTGCATTGTTCACACAATGCACTAGCGGGTTCTTGATTTCCCGAATTGAAGAACAACCATGAATATGTGGGTGTGTATTTTAATGAGGAGACACCCTGGCCCAATGGGTGGACTGGTCGATTTTCCGAACCTTCCAGAGGGTCATTGCCTGGGAGGTCTCCCTATTCAAATACGCACCCATATTCATATTCAAAAAAAATGAAAGACATGTTCCACCAGCCGAGCATTGGCACCTCGCAGGAGGTCCAAAGGACAGCCATCTGCCCTTGGATGCGATGCGAGCTTTGCTCTTGGCAGTGATGATTTTGAAGGTCAGCAACTTGACTTCAAGAAAGTCCAGTGATGGCAAAAAAACTAACAATTTCACGGGAATGGCATGGCCAATCTTGACGTAGCATTTGTCCAATCCATTTGAAGAGAGTGTTTGCTGGCACTTGATCTTTGCAAACACTATGACACTATGGCCATGTGGGACACAAAGCCAGGTCTAGGTCCGACTCGAAGACATGCTCTTCTTTTTCCATTGCCCATGCAGTGAGACAGGAACTTCGGAGCACCAAGTGGCTTTTGGAGCTATACTCAATGAGCTTGGCCTCCCCGGGTAGTGGCGTGATATGGCGTGATGGTACATGATCATGCACAACAGCTCTTCCTCTTCGTCAAAACACATCACGAAGTGTCATTTATAACAGGACTGCAACTTGAGCAAGAAACATGAAACATGCTCTTACCAATAGACTTATGATTTACTCCGATTTGTACTGAAAGGTTTTTTTGGACTTGATGATACCGAGCACCCGCTTGGACTGTTGGCGTGTCAACTCTATGGACTTCACCCTTGCCCATCGAGCTAAACCCCTGTGCCTCGTAGATCGTTCCTAGGCACTTCCATCATCAAACAAATAAAAGCCAACAGCAGTTATACAGCTTGTCAAGCTGTATTTTGACACAAAACACAGTATTTGACACTGGTATATCCTTCCTGCAGAAAACCAGTTGAGCACGCATTTGACACAGGTATCAGCTGTGAAGATTGCTAGAAGATTGCCGGTCCGCACTGGACTCTCACATGTCCCCCACTGTGCTCCCCGACGAACACGAAGCTGACGCTTCACCGCCGAGATCACCGGTGGCCTGACAAAGTTTTCTTGCAAGAAACGGGTTCAGTTGCAATGATTCTCTCTAGTAGGAAGCTTACAAACAAGCTAGTGTGGGCAATCTGAGTGCCACATGCATCCACATACTCACATCCTGAAGTTTCTGACTCCAGCTTTCCAGCTGGGATCTAAACTTCCCAGATTCGTTTGTGATGCCACTTGCAAACTCACTTGAGCATGGGGTGGAGACGTCTCAGTTTTTTTTGGGCTTGCCCAACTCTTCGACGAGCCGGAGAATCGGTTCCAACATGTTCACACGAGTCGCATGAATCATTGTGAGGTCTGTCTTCCTACTCCGGACACATTTCTCAGTTGGCCAGTACGGCAGTAGCAATGTGTAGTCTGGCCATGTTGAATGATATGTCTCCCAAGAAGTTAAGTTGCGAAGACCACATCGTCACCTAGCCGTCACGAAAGACCGTTGCATGAGCCCTTTTTTTGGGGCTCCTCTGAAAGCAGGCGCCCGTCAGCTGGTCGAGGGCCTCGCTTGACGTGTGACGTCGAGGGCCTCTGCCTTTCGGCACTGTAAATAGTGGATTGATAACACCTGGTCGGACTGGTTATCCACCTTCAGCTGGAGGATGCTTGGAGCAACCCTAAGACCTGCTACACTTCTCAAATGAATAGAAACGATTTCGAAGAATTCTATCCGGGGTAATTGTGCTTTGTAATGTTGTTCGAGATGATGGAAGAGCCATATTAGGCATCATGCCTCCATTTTGCTTCCAAGCTTGAAGAATAATCAATACATCGATGCACTTGTGCCAAAACGTTTGTAATTTGCATACAGTAATATTATATGACAATCTTGCACGCTCCCATGACCTGTGCGTAAAGCGTGTGTGTGTGTGTTGGAAAGCTCCTCCTCCTGAATAAAGCCTTGCACGGTGGAAAGTTCCTTCTTGTCTCTGAATTGCTTCCGATCGAACCTTGATCTCTAGAAACACTAGAGACAAGCCAATGCACTCCCTGAGACAATGCCACTCCGTCACCACGACACAGTGCACAGCGAGCGCTGCCTTCTGAACTTTCGATGCAGAGCCGGGATCCGAGTGGAAGCGCACCACTGCAATGTACCTGTCGTTTTCAAGAGACTTGTCCCTCCCCGACGCATTGGATCTGGAAGAACCGTTGGGCTTGCCAAACTGGAGGTTTCTGCTTCAAGACAAGAGCAGGTGCTATGCTGAGCATGCTGTGGAGATGTCTTGCTGCTTGTGACCAGCCTCTGGCACCTCCCCCCATCCCTCCTCGTTGGTGGAGCTCTTCACCCGCTGGCGCACTCTTTTCCAGCGGACTGTTGTGCCTTCACCAGGCGTGTAGCCCGATTCAAGCACACCAGCAGGCAGCCGGAGACCTGATTCAGGCGTCCAAATGATCAAGGTCTGTGAGAGCCAAAGAACCAAACTAAGTTTAACTATACTACTAAGTGAGCTGCTCGTCATTCAGGCATGTTCTTACAAAGCGACAGCATTTTCCATGCCTTTAGACAGCTCCTGGCAGTGACAAACCATTTTGGGGTTGTTCTTGAGCGGGCTTTGCTTGAATCCTGCTGCACCCAAAGTTCCAGAACGTGGCGCTCTGCTTCTTTGACGTTCCCAAGCACCATGCATCAGTCTTTTTCCGTGACCCAATTTCCACATCGAAAAAAACGGCCCCCCCCCACCGAGATCTACACCGTCAAAGATTTGTATCGACCAAGATTCACTTTTTGAATGCTAATAATAATTGCTCTTCTCCCAATCATCGTCCCAAACACTGGTGACTCGAGCACATGCCCTGCTTGATATTTGGTATCTCATTCCGTGCGCACGTCGCGTCGTCTCTGGCCTTGGGGTCCAGTGTGCCGGAGTGGCCCGTCTTCTCGCAGTTCATGATCCGTTTGATCCAAGAGACCACCTCGGTCAAACGGAGAAGTTGCAAAGCAACTGCCATCGTTGACATGGTTCTGTTGGGCCGGTGTGGAACCCAGGATCGGTTCCAGTGCATGTGTCCAGGTTGTCTTTAGATGTCGCTACCAGGGCGAAGCCTTCGAACTTCATTCACAGCCGGCCTAAGACCTGCGAAAGACAAACACGCCGTCCGGTGGAACACGGACGTCCCACCGATGGTTGTCATGTCGTGAAGGAGCCCATGGGGGGTCATGGAATTCGAAAGGATCCCATCCAAGGCGCGCTTTTGCGCTTTTCTGAAAGAGATGAGGTCGAAGGCTAAACCGAAGGAACCTGTTGGGGGGGTTCCAAGGAATAGCTTCTGACATCCAAACAATTTTTTTTGACTTCACTTATTGCATTCTGCCAAATGTCACAACATGTCACAACAAACTCCTCGTTCCTCCGAAAACCACCTGGTCTTGGTCCGTTTCGTTCGTGGCGTGGAACACCACCACCGATGCACCGATCACTTGTGTGCGATCCGCACCTCGTGGCTGGATGGATTCACGGGCTTGTCTAAGTTGAGGATGCCATAGAGCAAATAAGCCTCCGCCAAATACCAAATCTGAGTAGGTCTGCTGATGGTCTATGATAGGAGTAGGTGGTGCTTGTCCATACCGCAAGGTGATGTCTATTGTGGAAGTGCCAGGGAGCCATGTCTTGGATGATTAGGGTGTGTGAGATCTTGTGCGTCTGGGGAGAATCTCAGTCAGCCAGAGGTGTTCAGATCGGTCGCAATTCAATTTTTCCGCTAGCAGCTAGCACTGCTGGGATCTCCCCAGCAGTGTTGTGGAAGCCAAGTCGATTTTGAAAAATGTTTGGTTGCTTTCAGTGGGGAGAAATGCTCCCAGCTGAAGGGCCCATTGTTCTTGTTCTTGATGTACGTTGATGGCGGGAAGGAATAGCCAGCTTGGAAAACAGGCATTTGCACCTGTCTGCATTCACTCAAAAAACATTAAACTAAAAAGAAAAATGTAGCTCGGATGGCGGTATGTCAAGGGCAGCGGATCCAAAAGTCCCTCTGACACCCATGTAATGTAGGATTCTCTAGGATCGTGATGAATCAACCCTCCAATATCAAGAGGTTGTTGAATCCAAATGGGAGGGGTCGGAGGGGTGAGGGGTCATTCTTATGAGCTCCGCATCTCCGTCGAATTCCGACCCCTTCGGCGGCCTCCAAAGGCCTGGTCAATGGAGAGCACCCAAAGGGCAGCGGGGTATAGTGGCCTGTCCTGGCCATCTTCGAAACACACATCAAGGGGAACCCAAAAGCCTTGTTGCGCTTGGGTAACAGAGTCGGAGCTGGCAAACATATGAACTCAACATGGCACCAAGCAACAAAAAGGAACAAACCAACACCACAAATTGAGCAGTGGCTCAAAAGGACCGAGAGAGAGGCATCCAATTGGAGCGTTGGAGGAGGAGGCAGTGATATAGTAGGTCTCCAAATCAAGGTGACCCAGAATTGTTCAGACCATAACTTGTTTGGGGGATCATTGGGGGAATCCCTCATTTAAGAGATAATGGATGAGAACTTGGATGATAGTTGCGTTTTAAGAAGTTGAACAAATTTGAAATCTGTGGGCACACCATATCCACAGCAGCACGTGGATGTCAAGTGAACGTGTGTTCAGAATGCACACAAACTAGCATCAGGCATTTCCTTAGATCCTGGGTTCACTCATGCTCAATCATATCACGACACCAGAGCTTCAAAAGCAGGCAGTCATGTCACCAAACGTGGCCCTGTAATTTAGCTATAGTTCTGTTTCAGGTGGGACAAGTGACTCCTGATTGCAGGTGGGACAAATGCCTCCTTCTCAAACACACACACAAACATGTTTGCTCCTTTGGTCATATTCGTTCCAGGATATTTCCTTTTTCTCGTGTCAAGACAATTCTCGTATCGGAGCTATCGGAGGTCATGACACCGTCACCAGTGAGAGCCAATTCATGAAGCCCTTCAAAAATATCACACTGCGCCGATGAATGGGCATATATCTCTATATATAACGACTCTTCATGAACCATCAACGGAAAATCACGTCGGGACCATCACCATTGACTCTGTAGCTGCTGGTCGAGCTGACAGGTCGAGGGCACCTTACCAGAAGTTTTGAGTAGTTCTTCAAGAGCAGGGGCCACCTCGGTGCTTCCGGTGCCGTCCAGGCGGTTGGAATCAGCGATTTTCACCAGCGTAGCGTCCAGGCGACTTCTGGTCCAAAGCCCAGAGCGTTCCGGACTTCGTCCGGACATGGTCCAGAAATGTCTAGAGTCTAGACTCTTAGGACCAGAAGCAAGATACTTCTACACAGGTTTCGTGCTTTTAAGGGCATTTAAATGTACGGAGTAGAAAGAACTACCATAAGTTCAAGCGATTTCCAGAAACTTGGATCAAAAGACAAAAATGCCACAGCACTAGATCGTGTTCATTCCCTCATTTGCCAACTGAGCATGTCCAATCATTGTTCAAAAGAAGCACTTGCACCGCTCTACTGAAGCATATTAAATCTGATTATATATACTTACATGCAATTATAATCAATTAATATCAATTATATAGCAATATATATACAGTAAGTATATATCAAGATTTATGAATTGACCCCGAAGCTTAGGATATTCTTATACAAACTGCACGGTTTCAACATGTACCCTCACAGTGATTCTGGCCTTCTCAATATGTGGGCCTCATCCCATCAAATGTCCAAACATTTCAGAAGTTGGAACTTTATCAAAACTTCTTGCCTCAGGTTTCCGACCCACAAGAAGCATTCCCAGCCTATCCCAATTCCACAAACACATCAAATCCCTGAGACTTCTCCTTTCTGCTGACTTTGGGGAAACCCTTACACACCTCCTGTTCATGTGGGCATCTCTCAGAGCACGATGTTTCGCCATCTCTGAGAGCTCCGCTTTGAAGTGTCGATGGGCTTTTGACTCTCCTCGGGCTTGATGAACAGCTCGGCCTCCCCCTGGACGACGAGGCACGGCGCCAGGGCCGCCGTGACTCGGTCAAAGGGGTTCTCTACAGGGGAAGCCCTTGATGTCTGGAGCCAAGCAGGTCTGGAGTCCACGGGAAGAATGTCCTGAAGACGAAGTCCTGCAACATACCAGAGCAAGCTCTAGAATTAACAACAAAACCATCTTACAAATAGTTTGGCAAGTGTCGGCATGCGTCATAGCTCTGGAAACCCTGGGCTTGGGAGCTCTTCAAAGCCAAGTGCCTTTGGGGGGGTCCGTATTTTTCTTTGCAAATGTCCTCAGGTGTCGGTCTGCTCAGCTGCGCTGAAGCGAATAGGTAATCAGTGATTGATCAAGTCTAGGACTGAGTTCCGCACTATGAAACACCCGTTTGGTGGGAAGCTCTTTGGACGGCTGCACATTGGCATGCCGACTTTTTGACTACAAATGAGTTTGTCTTGAAATGGAGCAACCCCATTTCAGTGAGAACTGGTAATTCCGAGAATGTCCATACAAACAATATCAAAAAAACAAAGTGGGTTGGAGAGTTCAATGGTTTCAAGCACTGTTGACTAATTACAACCCTGCCAATGTTTCGGTTCACCTGCCAAACGTTGGGGGATCCCTGGCCTTCTTTTTCTTCTTCTTCTCACCCTCCGCCATCAGGTCGTTGCGGAAGGCGACTTAATCACTAAGCCACATTGGCTGTCAACGGCCATGTACACAATGGCACAACAGCTGAAAAGCAGAAGTGCACCTGGAAGGTTGGAACAGGAAAGGCAAACACAAGCGTGTTAACCCACCTGTAGATAGGCAGGTATACTTCAGCTATGCATAGCTCTGCCTTGTCCTCTGCTGCCCTTGTGAGAGCACCATCCTAGGCAAAGGATTCATAACCAGTATTGGTGGTCCTGAGATAACGCCGCAATGCCTCTGCACATAGCGCGAGCTGCTACTCCTTTTGGTCCTCTTGCAACTGCGAATCTCAGAGATTCGAAGTCTAAAGCCTGGGCACTTTCGCCATCCTGCTACAAGCGACTAAACCATTCCTAAACCTAGCTGTACATGATCATCCACCTCAGCGTCAATTGGTTGGAAGCAGCATTTGCTGAACTACAGTATGCCTAGCAAGCACAAGCTCAAATTGATCCTTCTGCACTATGTGTCATCAGTCAACTGAAGACTGATGTTAATTCTTGACAATAGGGACAGCTAAGACTGAACAAGTGGACTGTGACAGGTTGCAAGGACATGGAGATGTTTAAGTGTCAAACATAATCATGTAGACTCACTTGTAGACTCTTGATTAGTAAACACCCCCCCGTTTGGATGCACGGACTTGCGGACAGTCAGGTTTGACACGTGCGCCCACTCCCCCCCTTCCCAGGTTGTCTGGGGGGTAGGGCCAGGGGTGGGTGTGAACAGGGGATGACACCTCGCACTACTGAAATTGGAAACTAGGATGCTATGTACAAATCACTACGAAACTACGAATGCACAAAGCAGGAACGAATGCAGGCAAACGAAAGTAAAGAGTGCGAAGCATCATGCCTGTCAAGGAATTACGAGCAGGGTCCTTCAAGTTGCACTAAGGCAGCAATAACCCTTGCGGGCCTAAACAAACCATTTCAACAGGAGAACCAATTAAATGCATGTCTTTTTCTCTTCAAGAAACTAATTAGGGCCAGGATGTGTAGGTCTTTTTTCCGGAACATCATGCACCGAATGTACTGTGTAAATTTCTCACGCTTAGTAGGAGGGATCTCTGGCCAGTCTGGCCAGGGCGGTGCAATTGACGTCATCATTAACGGCAATGGCTGTACTTCATTGTGGAATGGTGGATTGTGGGGTATCTGCAGGATTAAGTTTTGATAAGTTTTGCATATAAAGGCATGTGTCCTGTGTGTTTGGGAGGACCGGACGCCGCGACACTCCTGCTTCATGATACCTCGAGAACCCCAGTCGTGTCAGGCTGGAGGCCCCTTGCTTTTTGTATGTCGGGATGATCTTCATTTTGGAAAAGGTTTGTATATGCTTTACAATCAAACGAAAGGTTTCGGAGAGTACTCGGAGAGATCTATGTTTGACTGGCTGGAGTTGGATCTTGGGATTATCATATTCTAAAGGGATGATGGTGTTCTGATCTTGTATGCGAACTGGAAGAAATCTGCCTGCCCAAAGCATGAACGACACCGAAAGTTCAGTCCATGAAATGCCCGGGTCGTTTCTGGAGGCAGTGAGTGTTTCTGACGGCCATTTAAGGAGGTTGCAGAAAGTCCATACTACCCCCCATTTGGATTGAACACCCCCTTCATAATCTTGATATGGGGTTCTGTAAATCAAGAGTCTACATTAACCTACCAAAGTCTTCCAGTCTGAGCTGCTTCTCCCAGTCTAAGTCGCCATGCCTCAATACTCGTTGCCCTGTGTGGGAGCCGCCCCCTCAGAGCTGGAGCTGTGAAATCGAAGGCGATTCAATAACCATGGGCGTTCCATCAGCACGTTCGCTCATGCAGCAAAATCCCCTCAGGCCGGATTCACTTGAAGCTAATTAATAGATCCTACCATTCATTTCTAGCTATGATTGCGATGTTTTGGCTTCCTTGTCCGTACATGTCGTCTCTTGAAGCTCAGGGAGAACAAACGTGTGATTTCACACCGCGCCATCCGACTCGTCCGATCTCCAAAGCAAACTGTTGGACTGTATGTAGCAATAGTTCAGCATGATGCATTGCGGATCATTGCGGTATACAGCTGTAGCAAACTTCTTCTTCTAGCATGTAGTGCTTCGAGGTTGGAGGCCATCGCTCTTAGGTTGGAGGCCATCGCCTCTAGGTCCTATAGGGCGGGGGGGCCATCGCTCTTAGGTTGGAGGCCGTCGCTCTCATGTACTGTAGCTCTGTCCTGGATCTGTCTGAAGAAACTAAGGCCCGACTCTCAGGGTATATTGTGTCGTAGGCACCTGGCCGACGTGCCCAGTCTGCCATCGGCTGAGGCGGCGGTCGTCCGTCGATCGACAGAGTTGGTGCAACCTCAACTTCTGTGCACCATTCTTGTCATTTGAGCTGCACCATCGCTGTTGCTTGAAGAACTGAGCTTCATGCAAAGGCTGCTTCTGCCAGCAAAGGATCCGGGTTCAGTGGCCTGGTGTCGGCCAAGCTGAAGTTGCTCATCGAGTTCAGTGATGGAGCTCTGTCGAAACCTCTGATTCAACATCAAGAAAGAAACTAGGCGCCTTGGACTTTCAACAACACAGTCATCCATAATTACAATAAGTTCACGTGCGATTGTATTTTATGGACTCAATTGACAGAAAAAACTGGGTACTTGACCATACAAAATCTAGGCTTTTAGGTGACAACCCGTAGAGCACATCAACACAATGCAAACAAATCAACATTACCCACAGCAAGCATTTGACTTGAGAAAAAATGTATCTACAATAATTAATGAACAAAATATATATGGCATAATCCTGATATAGTATACATAATCCAAGCATAGTCCTGATCCCGGCAACATGGCCATGACGACACCAACTTCCACCACATTGTCCAGCACGCCGGCTTTCGCAGCGGCCACAAAATCTGTCTCCCGAAAAAGGCTAAACAAAAAAGCAGGGCAGGCACACCCCAGCTGCCGAAACTTCGGCAAATTGACACTGGCACCCAGGTGAATTCGGATGATGGCACCAGCCACCTCAGCGCAGTGGTCTGCTCCAGGGGTTGGCTCGAACGAAGCGCCACTACAGTCTGGAATCCGACCGCTTATTTTGAACGAAGCTTCACTACAGCCGCTACCTCTCAACAAGGCAAGGGTTGGTAAGGATTGAAAGAGGGACTGTACCTGGTTAGTCGACTAGCCATTTCATGTTGGGTCTTGTGGGACAAGCAAGGTTGCCAAGGTGCGTGTCTGTGTGTGTATGCGCGCGCATTCGTCTGGTATCCCTGGTTCCCAAATAGAAGTAGCAAACCCATAACAAGGACCTTTACCAGTTATAAGCATAGTCTTGCTTAGCCATGTACTGCCGAGCAGTCAACCGCTGAGAATGATGTCCTCTCATGACAATATATTAATAGCCGTTTGATCCTTTATGGCATCCAAACGTCACATCCAACGTCCAGGCTGAGTGCCGGACCAATCTGGAGACGTCCACAACTTTCAACCTTTTACGCTGGCCAATGAGCCTTCCTCTTGGATTGGGTTTTATGGACAGTCCTCTTCATGTGGGATACCTGATAGTGCAAGCAAAGACCTCCATTGCTCCCAGGTGGTGTGGAAGAGAAGGAGAGAGAGAGAGAGCTTCTGACAGCTCCAGCGTCCCATTCTGGATCTTGACTTCACCGTCTTCACCTCCTTTGCTCTGCTCCTGGGTCTTTTCCAAACAACTCCCCAATCCATCGGCCTGTCTCCAATGCCCAGCTTCTCAAACTTCTGCAAAGGCCTCGGCCAAAGAAGGCTTGAATCAACATGGCACCAAAACAGTAGATTTCGGAACTTCTATGCTCTTCTTGAGATGGTTTCTTCCCCCAATCTCATCCGTGAAACACTCTCCAGACTGCAGTGGGAAAGGCATCTGCATTTTTGAAAGGGTTTGCCACCCGCTTGGCTCAGGACATTCGTTGAGATATGCAGTTGGTCACTGCGATCCACTGGCGAACGAACGGTTCAATGCGGAGACGAAAAGCAGAAAAAAAATACTATATACGTAATAAAAACAATAGCAAAACATATCAATATTTGTTGCACCAATAAATCAACCAATTAATTTTCTGGCGAACTATATATAATAACAGTAACACAAACCAATAAAGTATGAACATAGTATGTCACAAACAATTGAACCAACACATGAACCATCAATGGAACCAACCATTGAAGTTGATATGTTTTGCAATTCTTACCTTTGTTATAGAGCGACCCAACATATGCATTTATCTTTCAACAAAGCAAGCTACAACCTGAGATTGTTCACAAAACAACCCTCGCCTCTAGTCCAAGATCAGCAATCATCTTGGCCACACGCTCCGAGGCATCCTGAAAAAGAGTTGCCACTCAGTAGCTGCAACAACCCTTACCGCCAAACAACATGGTTCGAAAGTCTTCTTGTCGACTGAATGGGCGTCTGTTGATTTCTGACCACAGTGAGGTGAAGAACTTCCCAGCAACATGCAAAACATAGTTCTCTTTCCTGCCGTCCGCGCCCCTGTGACCGCTCATCGTTTAATTCACAGATTGGCTTGGACAAAGAACAACGTCTGAGAGTAGGTTTCGACTGAGCTGGTTTGAATTGAGACTCCCAGCCTATGGATTGTTATCTTTTCTAGACTGTTCCATACTTGTCCTATTCCATGGATCTGTCAGGAGTCCCTGCATTTGTATGAGACGCAAACAATAACATACCTGGACATACCTTGTAGTATATCTAATATATACATATATATATATTATATTCTATACATTTCTATACTATACATGTCATTGGTCCTGTCTCTGTCGTTCGCACCAGTCTTGCCTTGGAAAAATAGCCATGCGTGCCGACTGCGTAGAGCTTGGCCTTCGACTCCGGTTCACATTGTCTAAGGGAAGGTTCAAAGATCTTCCAGAGCCGTTGGGAAACACAAGCCTGTGACAGTTACAAAATGAAGAAGAAGAAGAAGAAGACACTGATGACGATTAAACCCCGAACCAAAGGAACCTTTGGTTCCACGTTCTGCAGACCCAGTGCCTCAATCGGACAAAAAAGGCCCTTTGGCTGCATCGATGCCTCTGGCGCGAAGGTCCGAACTGCCTCCACCACTTTCACCAAGCTGCCGCAGGTGTCGAACCTGCGACCGTGGCCCATGGCCGGCTCGATGGCCCGAAACCCGTTGACTTGGTCGCCTTTGCGTTACATGTTGCTGGCCTGGTTCTGGTTCTGTCCCCTTTTTCTGGATGATTGCAGAAATGACGTAAACCCAAAGACCAGCCAAGATGTATATCTTCGGCAGGGTGTTTGATTTGAGAAACATGTAATGACAAAATGATTCATCATGATTGATCGATTGGAGCTTCCTTGGCTTCGCGTCAATGGTTCTTGTTTCGGGTGTAAAGGGCTATGGATTGCCGGTCATTGCAAGGATTGGCGTGCTATTCCTCTATCTAAGATCCAATTTCTTTCTGACAAGGAGACAAAATGTGCGCCTAAACCTTGCTCTTCAATCAAAGCCTCGCCCAGCTGGTGCCCCCAAGCTAGAGTTCAACAGTTCCCTCTCCTTTGCGTCGTCTGAGTGTCCGGACATGTCATCAACGATTATGACATTGGAGGGGTTTAAAGAGGCGTCGGAGATGATCTTCACCTTTCGTCACGATTCTCTGGGGTGGCGATCTTCACTCGAGAAGTCTGGGATTTGATCTTTTGAGACCCTTCACATCGAAGGTGAGGAAAAAACGACCTGACTCGATTGTCTCTGGTGTGTATGGTGAGCTTGGGTACTTGGTCGCCACGACCTTTGCAAAACCGACACTGTGACCGACAGTGCCTGCTGCAGCGGAATACACGGCAAAAAAACATGTCTCATATACCACTACTATTACCAGTACCCCCAACATCAAACCATGTTGTGCCTCAGTATGTTGAACTTCTGGTACCAGTAGGTTGCACAAATGCTGTTCTCGTGTCCAAGAAAACACATGTACAAACCGCGCAAAGAAAACTATGTTTCAACACATGCATGATCACCTTTATTGCCAGCACCAGCAGTATCTCAAACACTAAAGCAATGCCGCTAAAGGGATTCGGCTCAGCATCTATGCCGAATCTATGCAAATCTACAGTAAGTCTTTGGGAGTGCCACCCGGCAGTTGCAGATCCGGTGTTAAGATCAGATTTTCGCTATCGACTCTATCGAAATCCTACTATCAAACCTCTTCTCACATCCCCATGACAATTGCATGCTTTATGTCTTCATCGCAATATATGAGACAAACAGTGAGACAAACCACACAATGGCGGCCCAGCATACCAACAACAAGGCAAACACCTCTTTTCATACCAACAACAAGCCTGTCCAACTTCTCCAGCTTTGGGTCTGAACTTGTCTGCCATCATGAAGCCAACCTGGCGACGGCCAAGCACTTGTGAGATGGAACCCTTCAGCGGCCACATGTTTCTGGTGGCGCAAGCGGCGAGCAAACAATATGCAACCTCCGGGTCCGCCTGGTGAATTATGATTCAACATGTTTGAACATTCCCTTCAGTCGGCATTGCTTTTGATTGTAATAAACTTTGTGGCAAGCCTTATGTTTCTGGCCGCAGTCATCTGTCTAGCATAAGTGCAGAAGGATCTTCTTTAAAGATAAAATACGGTGTACATGTGTACTGATGTGTACTGTATAATTACTCCTATTTGTTTTAAGTATATGCACATTATGCACATCGATAACCATATATGAACATATAATTCATGTTGCATATTATAATGCACACCAAAGAGACCAAAGCAACATCATGCAAGAACTGCACAAAGAACCCTTGAACAACTTGCAGCAAGCAACTTGTCAGTTCTGCATTTGTGGGGTGCCTGAAGCTCATCAGCCATTTTGCGAGTGCGCTTGGCTCCCCCGGCGTCGGTGGCACACACCAAAGTCTCCTGACGGCTCGGTTCTTTTTCACGGCAGCGCACTGGTGACGGACCTTCCAGTCTCATGTCCTTCTCGTCTGCACCATATTAAACATCAACCAGAAGTCTGAACAAGCTATCACAATCTCAAAGGAATACTTTTAATCTGAATGCACACGACCCTTCCTTATGCATGTTTTCTGGCCTAAAGAATGTCGCTGTTTGACTTGTGAGTGTGCCCTTGGGAAGTGGCACCACTAAACAACTTGTTAGAAACAATATCAAAGGGCCAACAACACTTTCAGGCAAACAAACTTCAATGTGCTGCACACTGCATCAAAACTGCATGGTACAATGGGTTTGCTGGGATTTGTCAACCTGCGTAGAATAAACGCAATGAACACAAAACACAACAACTCTCATGGACAAGGCTTGATAACTAATTTGTTTCAACTGTGTTGCTCCGGAAGGGAAGAAACCATTTGCCCAATACTGTACTGCATACAATTTGCAAGTCAAAATGCGTGAATTGCTCGGTGTCAAGAAATTTGCATGTGTTCAATGATTGGTAGCTCCTCCGGTTTGAAATTGGGAATCATGTCGCGGATGAACGCTGCAAGGTATTTCCTGAGCACACAACCAACTACAAGCTGCAAATATGTCTAGGTCGCCACGGGAAGAAGAGTACCTACGAATGAAACCGGAAGGCAACAACAATAGAAACTTAGGGGTCTAAACTAGATACCGGAGATTAGAGCAACATAGATCTGCGACAACTGGTTTTGATCCAACGCCGGCGCCGGACAATACCAATTGACTTCCCTGAAAGAAAAACGCTTAGCGCCCTGACTCACAGGTCAGTTCGTCTAAGGCCGCTTGCGCCGGGCTGAAACCCACTTCCGCCTGGAAACGAAAGGGATTATGGCCATGCGAAGGCTGTTTCTTCCATGTGCTTAGTGCTTACTTCAGCATAGATATATACATTCAGAATATTCAATCGTGCATAATGCTACAGGCAGGGAGATGTTGGAATACTGAATTTGCTTATTTTGATGGTAAATCCAAGGCAATTTGGCAGGACCTGCACTTTTCGTCACCTTTCGCCAGGTTCCAAGAACTTATATAACAAATGCTGGTGGAATTTTGACCAAAATTTGTTGAGCACCCAAGAAGAAACACGCCCTGTGCCCTGTGCCTGACATGGGGAAACAAAACAATTTCAAAAAAACATTTGGTTTGGTAGATTTGGCACACTCCAACTAGGATTCAGGATGGACTAGGCTACAAGGGATCGTAAATGCATGAGATCCTTTGGCTACTAGTAGTTCTAAAGAGATCTAAAGAGTTCACTTCCGATGACTTCAACTCTCTTGTGATTTCCTCCTATTCCTTTCTATTGATCAACACATGTGTTTGTGACAGTCAGTTGTGACACGTGTGCAGCACCTGGTTGTGCAGGTCGATGGTCACAAAGCGATCCGCACCCGCCGTAGCCATCAAGTGAAGCCTTGGTCTGGGAGCGCGAACCCTCCTTGTTGTGTCCCTCTCTGGTGGAGTGAGCAAGTTGAGCAAGTGGTTGGTTGAGATGTCAAGCACTTTTGAAACCATGGCTAATCGATGTGTTGTTTTGTTCTATATTTTGGGCTGCGCACTTGGAGGATCCGCTGTTCAGGCGGGTGTCAAGGTCTTTTTGTTGGAGCAAGTGGCTTCAAAGGCGCCTCTGGTTCAGGCCCTGAGCAGGATCCCAATATATAGTCAAGAGCACAACGGTCGATGGAGGCCAAGCCAAATTCTTAAAAAGTCAGTGTGGCCAGTTTTTTTTCTAAGGTAGAACCCCAACAGTAAACTGTTTGGGGACCAATTGATTTGAAGATTGCCAATCCCTCTTGCTTCGTGCCAATGCCAACACAGTAGGTTACCACCAGCTGTTCCATTTGGCCAACCAGTTCCAAGCATCACCGGATCGCGAAAATCTCCGGCCTCACTGGCCCGCAGAAAAATCTGTGGCCCGAACAGCAGCTTGGGCGCGATGGCCTCACCGGCCTCAAACTTTCGGTCCTCAACGTGGAAGATTAGACGAAACAAGTTTTTGAGAGGGGGGCTTGAGGGAGATGAACATGGATCAGATCATGTACTATGTATATACTACTGTATATCCTACTTATACTACTACTTATTATGCACATGCTTTTTGGGCAATACAACAATACAGTACAGAATAATGTCATGTAGACATGTTTTTGGCTTTCTCTCTCTCTCTCTCTCTCTTTCTGTAGGGAACAGGTGCTACATGAAGCATGTCAGGATGCTGCTTCATGTGATCTCCTGTGATTCCTTCGAACAACAAGTCAAATGTCACATATTCTCAATTTGACGATCCAACCATTTGCCAACGCTAGCTCTTGGGATTCGCCATGAGTCAAGCACCCTGCTCCTGCCGTGAGTACTCCACACATGGCAACACCTGCAGAAACGCGGATGCGAGAAACGCGGACTCAGTCAATGACCTTTGAGAGTCAGTATGAAGCCACAAATCGATTGCATCGAATCAGCAGTGGCACAGTTAATTACTGGACATGGTTCCATCTGGTTCCATATGGTTCAAGGCTTCTCTTCATGGATTGGTCTCCCATCGGGGCCCTGATTTCACATGGTCTAAAGACCAAAAACCTCCGCTTTCGCTTTCGTGCCGGTCCCACCGCACCCGACTCGACTCCCGCAAACACCGCGCGACCGTGAACCACGCGCCACGCGCCGTGCCGAGCGCTTTCGGCGGCCCAAGGGACCACGGTGATGCGATGCGGCGACTCGGACTTCAGCGCATCCAGCATGATGAGCAACTGGAGGTGGCGAAGAAGGCATGGACGGCGAGGAGGGCAGAGGGCATCGGGTCGACGGACGGATGCGCGGCAAGGGATGTCGATAGCATCGGGGACATGAAGATCGAGACATGCAGAGTTTGCATGGGGAGACAGAGACATGGAAAATCATGGAAAGATGGGGTGGATGGATGTGCAATGCTGTGCTTGATTGAACGGAAAGCATCAGGGACTTCATTCCTCCAAATTTGTTTTTGACAATTCAATTCAAGACTGAGAAGAAAGACAAGGCTGGGCTATCCCTGGGACCGCAACCACTTCCAGATCTTGCACCTGCATAAGCATGAAGTTGATCTCACACTCGAAGTCGTCACGAGCACACACCTCATTTGAGCACAGCGTTCAGTCTTCGGTCTGTCAGTCATCTTCATTTATTATGCAGGGCAACGACTCATCCCAAAGCAAATCCAAAAACAGGACACACACACACACTTATGGATATGCGTACTGACATTACAAATGGATCCCTGTGATTACAAGGGGCACACACACACACATCCAAAACCTGCCTTTCCAATGCTCTTCTCAAAAACGACTTTCCCCCCAGCTTGGTGTGCCACCCAAATCGCATGGCAGCATGGTTCCGGATCGCTTCCAATGAGCTGGTCAGTCAAAACCGCCAACGTGTCACGTCCATTCGTCTCACCAGAATCCCCCATGTCTCAACAGAGCTAATCCGGGTTCCCAACCCAAGAATTTACGCGCAAAGGAACAAAGGACCACTGGGCTTTTGTAGAATGATTTGGCACAAAACCATTGACGCAACATGACACAATAGTATCATATTAGAACATATTGTTTGAAAATATAACATGTACATACAAGTACCATCCATCTCTGTATACCGACCACCAACTTTAACAACTGCGATCACACAAACAGCATCTAGCAGCATCAAGCTCAGCCCAGCAATTACGGCTAATTATGCATAATTGTTATAATTATACTCGGCTTTAAGAGCAGACGGATAGTAAGTAGCTACTATGACGGATAGGATATGATAGAATAGTACGGCTACACAGCCCAGTAGACGTCTTCGTAGCAGGCTTGGCTTGACAAAGCCAACTGCTATGACGCTCTCTTAGTTCTTCGTCCACCACCGAGCTGCTACGAAGACATCATAGTTCGAGACGGATTGCTCCAGCTTCACCGAGATCTCCCCGTTGGCGAAGGTCCGGAAGCGCGCCTGGCGAACCCCACGGTCGGCACTGGAGGTGAGGGCGGATTGCTCCGGGCCGGTCGTCACCGGATCTGGCCAGGGTTCCAAAAAAACCCATGGTGCGTTTTGTGTGTCCAAAATCCAACAAGAAAAAACACGTGGAAGATGGATCAGTATCACTCAGTCCTCTTAAGTCTTGTCACATGGAAAGAACACATTGCGTGTAAAGCGTAGAGGAAGAGAGTTGGATTCGACTTGCCATTTCAGCCGCTGGACTCACGAGCGGATTGAGCTGTTCCAAGTTGCTTCTCTTGTCACAATGGCTTGCCATCAAATGAAAACTGTCTGCTTGTACAAGTTTGCTCATTGGATGAAAGCCGTCTGATTTCTGCTGATGCTCTGTTTCTATCTGAACATCCTGGTAGTGCCATGACCCACGCGATACCCGACGTGGTAGTCCAGCGCAGGGAGGTGCCAGGGTTTAGGGCGGCGGTTGTATGCCAAACACATAGTCACATAGCCATTGTGGGCGTCTGAGACGAGGATCCGATCGTCTGAGTGTCAAAGCCAATGCCACTCGTTTCGTCTCGGTGTAGGTCAAAGAATCTGTCAGAAAATACCTTCTCAAGTGGTCAGACCTGGTCCTTGGGGTATGGGGTGCCCAGAACACCCCTCATTGGGTAGGTGTCCGAAAACCATCCCGACATCATGATGGAAGCATTCATATGAACTTGGTTGCCACAAACATATAATGCCCGCCATTGCCCGCCACAGCACCCATCACAGCTGCCTTGCCAATGCTCCAGCTCAAGTGTGCCACGATCTTCTCACAGAGATCCCTGCGCGATTATTACCCGAGGGATCCTTGCTGCGGTTGCCCGACTGTTGGCCACGTTGATCGGTTTTTTTGTTCCACTTGTGACTACCGAGCTCGCCAAAACGAGCTGACAATTTACCAACATGTCCATGCAGTCAATGAATTCCCATGGAGGACATATGTGTTTCCATGTTTTGTTCCGTTTTTGTTTCATGTTTGCACTCGGTCAGTGATCCAGCCTGTTTCCTGGAGTGCAAAAGACCACTGGAGGATGACCCACCTGACTGGAGACTTGTCTGGCCGTCGGACTAATTGGTCAAACCTTTTCCCAAAGAAGGCCCAGGTTGGAAACATGCAAGGCAGGCTGGAACATGCACACCAGCCATGGATGTGTTAGGTTGGAGCGAAAGTGATGAACTGGATTGATGATCTGTTTCTTCTGGTTGTTTGCTTCCCAAGGCCATGTGGAATGAAAGCCCCTGTTCGGTGTGCGAAAAGCTGGGCCAATGGAGGCACAACCGAAACATCAGCTAGACTTTGTCCATCGCCCTAGCTTCCTACCCAAAAGCGCTGTCTTCTCTTTACTCATCAAAGAAGAGTGGTGTGATGTGGGTAGAAGATCCACGATAATCTTTCTCTTGGCGCTGATTGCCTTGAAGATTGCAGGCTTCTTGCTCGTCAATTCCTGTTTGGCAGCTTTGCACCTATTGCCATGGTGTCTTCCTTTTCTGTGGCAGGGCCAGAACGAACGGCGCAAGGTGTGCATCGTGCAAAGGAACGGAACGGAACCGAGCGACAAATGAACGAGAACACCGTGACATCCGTAAGCCCGGGTTATCTCCACGGTAGCGCCATACTGAAACCAGGAAGGCTCCCATCATCTCATGTAATGGACAAAATATGAAAAAATCAACACCAGCAGCTGTTTGCCTAGCTTGTGAGGTGACAAGCTAGGCGTAGTGCAATCAACAAAGGACGAGTCATGAATTGCACAGGCGAGGGTCTCCGACGATCGTGGTGGTCATGTGGGTCATGTGGACTTCTTCCGGAGACTGGAGACGAATGCAAGTCACTGTGGGCTGATCCCAATTCTGCATTCCCTGATATTCCCTTTCTCCATCAGGAGATATTCCAAATATAGCTAATTGCCGGGATTCTCTTCCAATAAAAATATGATCTACAGTCACATGCCTCCCCCCCCGCCCGTCGATTCTTTTCGTCTGTGGCTCGGGCCGGTGCAAGAAACGCCTTCGCCCAGCACGCGTGCTGGGCCGTGGCCCAGGCGGCAAAGACGGTCTTCACGGCTTTTTGGGGCCTCATCCGCCTGCTACTGGTTCAGCCAGACACACTCTTGGGAATTCAATGGGTCTGGCCAGTCTGAATCGAAGCTTGTCCTTTTGAAGAGCACCATGATGCCTTGAGGTTCTCAAGGTCCTTGTGAATCCTCCAATGCTTCAATTCCCTGGGGGTTGAATTCTGGTGAAGTCGAACCAGACTGAGAAGAACTCATTGGGAACTCCAAGAACGCCTTAGTTTTGCGGCTATTGCTGTCGGCTTCCCCCCCACTTCCCGAAGCTCGTCTTCCACTCAAACGAACACTCAAATTAGTGTTAGGAAAAGGGGTCCCTCATTGGGAGACCAGCTGAAGCAATTTGATATGATTTGATCAATCCTGTGACAGGTCGTTTTGATACATGACCCCCAAATATACTTGGTACAAATGAGTACATAGTATAGATAGAAAAGCAAATCCCCTTAAAAATGTATTGGACACCATTTCTATCTATTTGGGTATCACTATATATTTTCCTATGCGAGCCATACTATGCCTATGCGGCTTTCTGGAAAACACATGCACCTGTTTTGGACAAGCATGGAGGAGCCATAGCCAGCCACTGGTCTTCACCGGGAAACTGATTCCACAAAGGTGAACCCCTTTCGTTGGCATCTTGTTAGGCTTCAATACAGTACAGGTTGGGTTGAGCACACCCTCTTGTGAAATTCTGGCAGTTAAACAATAATAAATATATATATATATATATCACAACCCAAACTACCTGTATGCAAAAGCATCCAACAGTGTCCCTACTGCAGTTCCTCTGATCTTCACTTATCCAAACGAGCTGGCCTCACGAGTCTATATTGCTATCTATTACTTCATCTTGGTGCCCACGGGTCCCAGTAGCATCTGAGCAAGCATCTTGTGCTGCAAGTCACCACAGAAGACAGCGAAAGCACTAGCGAAAGCCAGTGTTAGTTGGGGAAAGCCACTCTGGTGCGAGTTTGAGGCTGCCGCGTATTCCACGCACTACAGCAGCGCACGACAGCAGTGACAAACCCCTCCTCTTGGGCACGTGGCACCATATAATAGAAACATATAGAAACGATCAGCAAATATCAGCAAATGCCTTTTTTGTTGCAGTATCCTTCTGTAGATGCTTCCCAAAACAGAATGCAAAGGGAACAACCGCCGGAGTAATTATGTGCCCCCGTGCCTCCCCCACATGTGCCCTATTGCCAGGAAGGCAACAATGGAAACATATGGGACACGGGAGGTTGATTTAGTTCAGCTGACCAACACTCCAAGCGCACCAGTACCCCAGAGTCAACTCACACTGGCACTGGGAAAAGAGTTGCTGGCACTGGAGAGGCACCAGCTGTCCCAGATCTGCATAACTAGTGATTCTTGGAGATCTGGACTTGCATATTTCACCGCTGGGTCCCTCCCAAATGTTGGCAGCAAGAAAACTTCGGCCACACGCGATGTTTCGTCAACAAAGCGGAAAAAATCCCCTCTGACCATCTGCACTTTCTGAGCAGGAAATACGGGAGCCTCTAATAATCAAAGGAATCAACCACCGCCGTCCTATTCAAATATAAATATATATATATGCTGTTCTTTGCCTCTCACCGCTCACCATTGAAACATGTTGAAGGGTATCCTATTCGAGTCTCCTTTCCAACGCATCCCCATGCCATGAAACTCAGGCTACTCTGCAATTCCAACAAATGGAAGAAGCTTCACATCGAATCCGCTCAGAGTGGGGTCAAAGGGAATCGCACGACGCAGCATGTGCTCTCCCGAAACGGCACAGTGCCCGCCATTGAACTGCCAGATCTGCCCAGGAGCGACCACTTCGACCGGACTTTGGGACAGTTCCGAGGATTTCCAGAGGCGAGTTAGTGGGCCCAGGCACTTCCTCTCGAATCGATCGTGTCCTGAACAATCCAGCAGTTCGGCACTAAGCATCGAGCTTTGTGGCATAAATCCATCAGCACCTCTAAGTGTCCAAAGACCTCGCTTCAAAGGCAAATTGCCAGCTTGCAATATTTTGCCAAAGAACCAAACCATCTGGAACATGCTTCTTGCTGCTGCTGGTTGAAGTACACTTCAAAAGGGGTGTGCCTGAGCTCCCATAGTCCTCTTTTCTTTCTCGGGTTCTCAGTTCTCAGAGACATACCTAACCATTGCATGAACACAAAAGTCCAATTTACCCAGACTCGACATTCCACAAACAATGTTTGAGTACCCATGGCCCTTATCTCAATCTCTTGTATCACAAAAGAAGGGTGTTTCAGTGTCACTCACACCCTGGTTTTGGCAAAACAGAAACTTTGGCAACACACAACTCATCACAACTCCTTTGCGCACACACACACACACACAAAACACGGCAGCACATGAGACTGTTTGACACCATCCCACTGGCATCTTCTTCGGTGCGATGGACGAACGCGTGTGCCCATTCCTACGACAAAGGCACGGTCAAGTGAATCCGTACCACAGATCCACCATTAGACCACGCATTTCTCAAATTCTTGTCACTTCAACTAAGCCAGGTAGAACTTCCTGTGAAGCCAAAATAAAGGAAAGGCACAAGCACTTCGACATGAGGTTGCATCCAATTCATTGGCGACCCAATGGTGGACCCGTACCACAGGTCCCAGCCGGGCCAGGCTGTCTTTTTGTTTTTTCGCCCGGCTTTCCCATGGGCTGACAGCATTTTTCACACGCTGAGGGGTGGCTCTAAATAGCCATGAACTTGTACCGCTGGGCACGGCAGTTGCAGTGATATGTTGCATAATCGAGACAATCCTGGTCCCAAAACTCAATGAATGCAAAGAGGAAAGATGTTAGAAGAACAAATAGCCTGCCAACGTGAAGCTGTGACGTTCATGTGCCGCGCTTGTCAGAAAAAAGAACTTTGATCAAGTCGACTTGGGCGTTAAAAATCCAGTGCCCAAGCTGTGCAAATCCATTTCGCAACAGATTGACCTAGCACTTTTGCTGCAAGCAGCTAGGTTCAACTTGGTGTACTGCCCATTGGTTTGCTTCCTGATTCTGGTTTACGCTGCTTTCATTCAACGAAGGAAGTTCTTGGCTTCCAAGCAGCTATTGAAATCATAGCTAAGGAAGGCCATGACATGTGTATCCATTGCGACAAACATATAAATGACGTATGACTGAATATGTTGGAAACTTGTGACTGCACATCGGTGCACTTGCCTGCGCTCAGTGCTGGAAGAGGAATCGCAGGTCCTTGCAACTGCATGCAAGGACAGAAATTCCTCTCACATACCGGCAAGTCTTGATTGGACAGGCCAGTTACAAAAAATGTCATAGACAAAAGCTCAGAGCACATTGGGCCTATTTGGAAGTGGAAAACATGCATGCAAATTATATTGTAGTTATTTATTCTATAAACATTGTTAAACAATGTTAAACATAAGTGCAAAGTATGAATGCCCCACCAAAACCAATCAATCCCATCAAAGCCCCTGTGGCTTTCTCCTGCTCAGTGAGCTTTCCCAAGGATGTGCTTGATCCATCAATGGAGGCATCGAAGACCAGCTGCTTCTTCTCCTGCGATTGGAACAATCGCCCCGATGAGCCACAAGAGTGTCCATTCAGAGAGTTGTGGCCTTTAACATCCCAAGGCCTGCATGGCAGCCAAAGGAGAATTGAACTCTAGTTGGCAGTCTTTACGCAATTTAGAACCTAAAGCCTAGCCATGCCTAGCCTATAGCTTTAAAGCAACTTGCTCAAGCTGAGACCCGTGGAATCTAGCCGACCAAAGTTGATGAACATGAAAAAACCAGCAACTGGCCGAAGGCTCCTGCATCTAACCTCTGAAGGCAGCGATTGCTCATGGGTTTCTCGCTTTGTGGCATTCCCCGAAGATGGATTCGAACAAAAACATGCTGGAGAAAAATAGACCATAACTCATCAAACACCTCCAAAAGCAGAAACGCCAGGCTTCAAGCGTGTTACAAATAGCTACACATAAGCAACTACTCCCATGAACACTCTTTGGGAGCGAGGTCAGTCCGTTTCTATCCACCAGTCCTGGTCCCAAGAGAATCTCAAGCTACAGGACTTGTCAGGTCTCTTCTCATGAAGTTCTCCCGACTCTTCCAACAAGTCCTGAAGTTTGATGATCTTCTCCTCGATTGTATCTGCGCTGATGAATCTGACTGCCTCGCAGAGACCATCATGCAGTCCATCTATGGTCTCTGCAAAATGCAACATCAGGTTGCCCACCGATCGCAACATCTCACAGCGCCTGCTTACACCGAATCCCTATTATTGATGCCACCCGTCACCGGAACCCATAACCCTAAACCCAGCCCGAAGCAGTTTTCCGCTTCACTCACCGCGCTTCACTCACCGCGCTTCACTCACCTCCATCCGAGCTCCGCACCTCACTCACCTTCACTCAGCCCCACCGGTTTCACAACGTGCCACCGTTTCGCGCAGCAGTGACTCACCGATCTTCACCTATGTTCCCCAACAAACCCTAGTCACTATAGGGCCTAGTCTCTGGCATTAGAAGAACAAACTTCCACTAGCAAGATGCTCAATGCAAGCTCGCTTCTTACTTCTTTGGGGCCCTTTTTGATTAAAACATTATAAAACAAAAACTAAAAGAAACACTTTTCGGAGCCCTTCCGAGCCCTTCCGAGCCCTTCCTTCCTTCCTTCCTTGGTGCTCACCCACCTCACCCGCACCGCACCCGCACCGCACGCGACGCGCGCCTTCACCGGCCGGGTCTGTCCGATCCGATGGGCCCGTTGGATCGCCTGAAAGGAGGGGACCGCCACCCTTCCATCGTTCCTTTGGAAGCCACGAAAAAAGGGGCTTTAGGCTTTTGGTCTGTTTTTTTGATTGTTTTTGATTGTTTTTGGTGTATTTTGGGGATGTGTTTGTGTGTTTTTGGTGTTTCGTTCCTTGCAGTACACAAAAAAAAAACTTTGTGACATGTGGGTTACCTAGAGGTGTACCGTAAACCTGACTTGTCTCTGCCATGTGATGGCTCCGTTGATCGTCTGTTGACTAGGGATGACGAGAGAAACCGCACAACAATGGACTGATCGTTTTACGGGCAGGTTGACAGCCGTCACTGACCCATGGCAATGTCGTTGCCTGTCTTCGAGGCCTGAACATGACGAAACGAAAGACATCTGCGGGGGCAATGGTATGTTGATTTGGCAATAATTTTGACAAGCCTTGCTAGTACAAACACCTTGACGTGAAACAACACAGCTTGATTTGGCATCCTTGAATTCAAGCTATGCAGGCAACATACAATATGTATCACATTACTCATATAATATATATAGTAATATAAATTCCACACCCGTTGCATAATACCTTATCTCTGAAATCGATACCAGCAAACAGGAGTCGCTACCACTGATGTTGCTTCGTCAAGAGTCATCCGCAAACTCCCCACGGACCAAACCGCAGCTCCCTCGAAAAGAACGCGGGAAAAACACCCAAGCCTGCATTTCACAAGCGGGATTCCACCAAGGATCCAGCAGGAACACGTGATTGGCCACCTGTGCGCACCGTGATTCTTCCATGTTGACGAATTTATGTTTTATGGCAAATGGACAACAAACATGGACCATGGGGGCTTTTGTTGAATCAGGATCTCGTCAACATGACACAAGATTCGTGGACTCACACAAAACAAGCACCTGACTGACCTTCGTACATCTATGTCAAACTATGATGTAAACGACATTCATCGCTTCCAGCGACACCGTAGACCTGAAAAACCATGTTTCAGGGGCAGGGTTCCGCCTCCGCAGCAACTTCCTTGTCGACCATATTCCAAATACCAGAAAGGTGGTGCCATGCGCTGCCATGAATATTTCAGGGAATGTAATAACCATTTGGATTGTAAAGACTCTTCATATGAAGGGTCTTAATTCATCAAGAGTCTACAATTAGATGGGTCAAACATCGCCCAAATCAGGGGCATTTTGTCTATAAGGTGCTTTGGGCATCATGCTTCGCTTTAAAGTGCTCTCCAACAACCTGAGTCGCGAAGGGCGGTCAACTCATGTCAATTAGGCGTCTACGCAGTCATGAGGCGAATTTCCATGGATTGAACTCAACTTGCACATGTGGTACCAGACATTGATGCCCGAAACAATGACGTGTCTTCTCAACTTGCCAACAAGGAACTATAAGCTGCAACATCCATAAATATAATTAATTACCTTGAATCACCATGAATTTGCTGCACCGGACACTTCCCGAAATGCAAACGCACACGCAACATGCTGCTTCAACGCCCTTTCCAAAGAAATGGCCCTATGTCGTCTTGCGTCTGACACGCAAACTCCGCTCCGCTCGTTCCGGAAGACGCCAAACGCGCTCGTTCCGCGTAATGAAATACTGTTCTTGGCGCTCGCTCGTGGCCTGGAGGTTGAGACCCTCGCCGCCCGCTTTCAGGGAGATGAGAATCACCTCTCTCCGTGGAGCCCGAGGGAACCCGGGCCTTTTTTTTTACATGGGGTGTCCCATCATGTTGTGTGTCCTGACCGGTGAGTCACAATGAAGAGCAGTTGAAAACACTGCAGGTTTCGTCTGTGACCTGGAGGGGATTAAATTCGTTTTGCTGCGCCAAAATGAAATTGGTCTGAAGTTTGAACTGGTGGAATTCATCATCATTTGGAAGGAATTCATCAAGTCCAAGATCATATCTACCGGGAAATGCCGCAATAATCCGCCGTAATCATTACCCAGATGTTTTGAGCAACTGTAAACCAATCACGACATGTTTAGGACACAAAATCATTCAGGTGATTTGAAAATGGTGTGGGACAACTCGAGAAACTCGCTGTCCTCGATGATGGGTGGCGGCCAATCCAAAATTTTGAGACTGGGTTACAAGTCTTAGTGCACATGGTCTCAAAATGTTTGCCCCCCACGGTGATTTTGGGTTGATCAAGTTGATCATTCAGATCTTATTGATGGCCCTCAGCTGTTCGAGAAAACAATCTTCAGACTGCAGCAGGTTGGAGCCATGGGTTCCTTGTCAGGGTGTGATGTGCCTGATTTGTTCATCTTTTGTTTCGTCTAGATTGTCATTCCGGCCTCACAAGCTCTGCCAGGCTTGTCAGAATCCTCCACGCCGCCCAGTACTGCAGAATTATCCCGGCAAGAGACCCCAAACAGTGTGTTTGAGGTCTAGAGTCCAGGGGTTCAGAGAGGTGATGGTGGTGATGAAGGTGGAGATCGTGGTGACGAAGGTGGAGATCATGGTGGTGGTGATGGTGGTGGGTGGTGATGGTGGTGGATGGGGGGCTCGTCAGCTGGGAAAAGTCCACAAAGTACTGCGCCTGCCACGGAATCTGCACTTCAAGGTTCACAAAGTACTGCGTCTGCCACGAACTTTGCACTTCAAGGTCCGCAAAATACTGCAGCTGCCACGAAATCTGCACTTCAAGGTCCACAAAGTACTGCGCCTGCCACGAAATTTGCATTTCCAGGTCCACAAAGTACCACGAATCTGCACTTTAAGGTCCACAAAGTGTTGCGCCTGCCACGGAATTGGCACTTCAAGATCCACAAAGCACTCCGGCTGCCATGAAATCTGCACTTCAAGGACCTGCGACGAAATCTGCACTTCAAGGTCGACAAAAATTTTTGCACCTGCCACGATTTCTGATGTCCAAAAGATTCCAAAAGTCACGATTCACTGCACCTGCCACATCAGAGCATGCCGAAGACCACCACCATGTCCAAAGTACTCAAAGTACTGCGCCTGCCACAAAGTCTGTCAAACTGCTCCGATCCTGCACGAAGTCGACTTTATCATGAAAAGTGATCACCAAGTCCAAAGCTGCTCACGGCACCACAACGAGAGCGCACCTCCGTCAAGCACCGTCCCGCGGCCAGCGTTTCACACGACCCTGCGCAGAGAAATTGCATTTGAAGATCTCAGAACGGATCTTTTCTGCGAGCCTGCGCAGCCAAAACGCACGCGCTCAGAGAGCGTACCCTGATCGAACCCGGGCTTTTACACTAAGAACCCCTCAGTGTGGACACACTGTTTGAAGGAACAACATGAAAAAAACAATGGACAACATGTTCTTTAACACCCTATTTCAGTACACTCTGAATCACCAAGATGGACTGCTAGAGCCTCATTTCTCCTGGGCACTTTCCAAACGCTCCAAGTGGCCATTGGATACTCCGTTCCATGTTGGTCAGGCTGTGTTTTAGCCCAACCGCCAGGCCCTGGATGCCCCAGACTGTGCCTTCAGGGTGGGATCTTCATTGAAGGCGGCCAGGGCATCATCCCGCGCCTGCGAGAGTTCTTCGCGACGGAGCTGGGGAGCTGCTTGGGAGCTGTTGGGGAGCTAGAAAAGGCAGTGTCTACAAAGTGAATGAAAGTGTCTCCCTGTACATGTCCTATGACACATTTGGTGTGTATATATATATATATGTGTATTGAAAGTAGGGAGACAGAATCCCATGTCGACATAGGGGCGGTCGATGTTTCCGATGTCCTCGATGTCTATTCGAGGTTGGTTGGTTGGTTGGTTGGTTGGTTGGTTGGTTGGTTGCTTGGTTTCCTCTTTCCAAACATTCCCACTGCGGGGGTCTCCCTATCTTCATTACACACCAAGAACATTGGCATTGACATCGCACCACCGATTCGTGACGATGTTCTGTGATTCTCGCCATGGAATTGAGGGTGTTCCCGCTTGGCGATCGATGTGTTCCATGAACTCCAGGTGAGCAATCCTCCAAGACCCAACGGAGGGCACATCCGGTCGGACCGAATCTCTGTCACACCCAAATCACCTTGTAATGTAGTCTGATTCATAAACCACCCATCAAATGACACGTGTCATTTCCAAATGGGTGGAGGTTACCTACTCAATAGTCTGCATTGAAGGTCCAGGACCTTAGGATCGACCATGCCTTTTCTTTTACGACGCAGTCAGCGACGACGTGCTTCACCTGCATTGACATGCCGCCGCGGAAGACCACGCAGGAGATACCCGCGCGCTTCATGCGGAACTCCACAAGCCTCAGCGCGGATCTCCGGCGAAAAATCGGGCCATCTGGCTTCCCAGCACAGACTCCCGCAGGGTGGATCCCACAGGTCACTGACATGTTGAAATGCTTGACTTTGTGCAGTTATGTTAAATACGGTGTGCCACCCTTGGCGAAGTATATTGGAAAACAGGGGCGGGTGGTCTGCTTTGGGGACCCGTTCAAAACCAGTCAAACATAGTCAATCGTATATAGACATGTGTATACGTGTGTAGAAACGCCTGCAAACGTTCCCTTGCCTCTGATAATTAGCTGTACCTTACCTATTTCCGCGAAGAAAACAACACCTTATTTCCGCGGGTCCATCTTTCCATTAGCCTCCACAGATGGTCCACGCAGGCAATTTGATTGCCTGCCCATAAATATCGGGCGAGTGGCTCCAACATGGATCCAAACTGAGAAAAGACGATGCCCTGCCGAGACTCAGCCAATCAATGAATCACTTCGGGTACTCTTACTCAGCCCCCTTTTGCAAATCCTCCAGAATCAGTCAGCGCATGGTAAGGTGCACTCTTCGTGATCCAACCCAGGAAGCAACCCTGTCACCCTGTCTTGCAGGCATCAAAGGCAGCTGTAGTTGCTGGAGTGACTTCACTCGAGCCAGTGAAGTCGTATTCAATTGTCAATCTCACACAATGTCAAAAAAAAATCTCAAGAAAATCCCCAACACAACCTCTTCACAACTGTCAATTTCACGGCCACGGCACGACATACAGCAATCCGTGCACCTTCGCGGTGGGATCTGCTTTGTTCATCTGTTGAATCTCATCCAAGAGCGCTTCGATCTTCGTGCTGCTCTGAAATTCAGAGGCTTTCACCTGAGAAAGGTAGTTCGGCTCTGGAAGAAACAAGTAATCCATGACTGAAGAATCCACAGTTCGCAGACTGGCGCATGTCCTTCGATTGTGCAGAATCCAGGATCCTCTTGTTTGATGGTGAATGGGAGTGGACATGATTGGATATGGGTACCTCCCAGGTCTAAACCCTCTGGAAGAAGGACCATAGGCCAAAGATCCATTGGTTGGGTGTCTGCCTATTCAGTTACACACCAATATGGTTGGATTCAAGGATAAATCAGTGGAGTAACCTGGTGATTTTGGCAACATCTCTATCTAGAGTCCCCATCTTCAAGGAGTGGCCAGTTCCCAACACATCACCTCACCCTTTTTGGGACAACGCGACCACATGCGACCACAAGCGCACGAAACTTCACCAAGGAAGAGGTCAATTGCACCGATTGATGTTGTGATAAAAAATATATATAAATATAAACCTCCTCATGTCAGGGGCTTCCTAGAGTCCTACAGCTTAAACAAAATAACACAGACTGCCTTCCATTCCAAGCTGTCGCATCAACCCCTCAACCCCTGCGCCCGACCCGTTTTTCGGCCCGTTGGTTGTCCACTGTCCACGCCATCCTCCGGCCTTC